CTGTGAGATTTTTGGTGTCATTAGGGATTAAGTCGACAAAATTGGTCGTACTTCTCTTATTACGTTGCGGACTTTCGGCATGCAACGTGCATGCAGCAGTTTTGTTTAAAGGATGGCTGAAATAAATATAAAAGTGTTGCCTACATTCGAGGGCCTAACAGGCAGCGCGCCCATTGTTGCCGTTGACAGGCAGAGCCCACACGACTCACTTGAAATGCCCGCCAAATGGCGCACGAAATGAAGGAAATCCCCCTCAAGAGACCCCTTTACTTGCTTATTTTCTTGATTATTATATGATATCTATCTAATTGATAAATAATTTCGGAGTATTAATTGGAATAAATTGAATCATATTTAAACATCATCTCAAACCCCCTTAAATAATCTAACTTACACCACTGCCATTGGCAAACCCAAAAATGCCCAAAACGAACAAACGACACGCGTCCTGGCCATGGCCTGTGTCCCTTACCCCACCTATACCGCCCAGCTCTCCAACCCCAACCCCAAACTCCCGAATCCGCCATGCCCTCAGCATGGAAAATGTCGACGACAGACGTCGCTGCCAAGCCAACATTAGCATTGAAGTGCAAACGATGCCCGCCCACATAGACACACCCCCGCCCCACACACACTCACACCCACCGGGACATCGAGGGATTGGAAGGCAGCCAAGCGCCAGGCTGCCACGATGCCAGGATGCCCGGCTGTCGAGCTTCCATGCCAAACCAAGCCATGCCAAGCCATGCCATACCATCCTATCCAGTGCCGCAGTTGGAGCACTCACGCAAATTTCAATTTTTTTCACACCACTGCTCTCCGCTCTGTTTGCGTCCCTCGTCTGCCGTTTCGCTCGTCCTCTGCCATATTGTGGCCAGGCTACCAGGCGACAAAGCTTACGAAAAGTTATTCTATAAACTGAAATATTAATAATAACTTAAATATCTTAACCTTGTTTATATATAAAATCATACTTATAAATCTCTTTTAGAAAATATATTCAATAAGTCTTATGACTGATCTTTGATCCAACCCAAACCCAACTTATAATTTTTATAGTTCAAAGAATAATAACCGTAAAATATAATCCTCAAAATATGTAAAAAAGAAAAAAAACTAAGTAATAAATAATAAAAAATATGTTAACATATCTTTCGAATGTTGTTAAGGAAACGTTATTGAAAATTTTGTTGGTTGTTTCGGGCCGTCATGCTTTCGTTCTTCGAAGCACGCGCCAACACACACACCCACCCAGACATTCGCACTTGAACACATACATACACAGTGGCACACACCGACACATACTAATACAGGCGAAGTGAAGCTCCGGCGTATTGTACGTGCTCTTACACCGCACAGTGTGGCGCACTTCCTTTTGATTTAGTCATTTTTCTCTCTTTAGCCGACACAACGGCAGGAGCAGGTCGTGTCATGGCCCTCTGCCACCTCCCCCGTCCAGCTCGTTCTCTGCCCTCCCTTTATCCTCTTCGCCACTTGACAAACTGCCTTCCACACCCAACGAACTACCAAACCAGCACCACCACACCACACCACACCACACCGCGTCCCTTTTTCGTCGTTGCTGTCCTGTCCTGCTTCCGTTGCCATTGCGGCATGGAGCGCACTTCCGAAGCTTTTCCTGTGGGGCTTTCCCTTCTGTACGCCAGTGTGATTGTCTGTGTGCGAGTCCTTTAGTCCTTTTTCCCCCGCAGTTTGATTTTCAGTTCTGTTTTGCCACCAATACCTTTTCGCATTGTTATTGTTGTTCTTGTTGCCGGGACCGAGCACGAGATCCGTCTCCAACCTGCTCCTGGCTCCCGTCTCCTCCTTCCCCTTTTTACCGGTCTCCGGTTGCCACTGCTGTCTGCGCTTAACTTGCCTTTTATACCTTTGACTCCAACTGCCAGTCGGAGGTAATGCACAGAGGGAAAAATTTACTCAAAGGCAAGGTTATTATTGTGATTATATAACGAAGAAAATTATTTAAAAATAGCAATCAAATGGTTTAATTCACCTTAGCAGAAACTCCCATTTTAAAGTTTATTTTTGATAATAAAAATAAAATTAATTAATAATATTATTACACAGTGCTCCAGTAGAATCCGTTATAAAGTGTCGTATTTTTGTTTCAGTGTAACATGGAATCGCGGGTAGGGTATTTCCCACAGTCAGCGAGCCGTGGCCGAAGGTTGCATGTGGCCTGCTGCCGACTGTTACACTGCCACTTCTCCCGCACGTCTGGGTGGGTGGCGGGTGGTGTTTTCCTGGCAGTTGCTGGTGGAGAGAGGTGGCTCAGGGGACGTGGCAGTGGCAGTGGGGCCTGTCAAGTCGACCAGAAACATCGGCAGCAAGTGAGGCGTCTAGTGGGGGTTCGAGGAGTAGGAAGGGGGAAAAACCGGAGAGGCAAAGCCGTACAACTGGAGCCCAGACCCAGGGTCGTGGCAGGGCTTTTAGCGATGACGATGATGACGCTGGTGGCGGACTGCCTGGTCTCGGTGTGGCTATAAACGATTTATGTGTGCGCCAGCACCACATGACTGCCCCAGACCCATGGAACCACCATGCCACCCACCATGCTCACCCAATCTCAACCCGCGAGGGCAGCATTCAAGTCATCGTTCAGTTCGGTTCAGTTCAGTAATTTGGCTGGCGGCAACGGCAGCTGGCAAAATGCGCCAAGTGGATTGGGTTGCCAGTTCTCATCCTATATCCTCGGCATTATCCCCCCTCCCAGAATCAGCCCAATGCGTAGTTTCGAGAGCTCTTTGTACCCAGGCCATGTTTGTGCGCTCAACTCTGATTGCACCTGGCCAAGCCGCAAACAAAAAAAGAACGCAACCCGACGAGTGCCAACGACCCAGGAGAGTCGCACTTGTAGTCATTGTGTGAGGCTTTTCCTCAGCTTTAAACTGCGGCAGCTAATTGCTCATTATGCTCCCCAGTTCTCGCCACCGTTCAAATTGCCGCTTAAAATTTCATAGAAATGTTGTTTGGTTTGCCGTGGGAGAAATTTCTTCTTAGGTACTTGAAATTGAAAACCAGCGAGGCATCAGTTTTCAGCATGCGATATAAATCTTAATTTATTTTAGGAATTAGGAAATTATTAGACATAATTCGGTATTTTTTATCATGACTAACAACATTGCAGTTTATTGCCTTATATGGCAGTTTAATACTTTTGCGTTCAATCAAATTCTTCAAATTTGTAACTTATATAAAGCAGAAAACTCTCGATATATGAATTGCCATTATGTGGCACATTCATGTGAATGCCACTCATCGCCCGTAAAAGAGCTAAGCTCCGATTATCCTGACAACCTTGTGACGCATTATGTTATGTACAAATTCGATTGGTTTTGGATACACGCGGAGTCCTGTGAATCCTCCACATGTGGGGGCACTGCAGCAAATGTGGAATTTCCATATTGTATAGCACGCAGTTTGGGGCACTTGTTGTTGGCTGTTTGGACTATTTGAATCGACGGGGGGAATGCGTTGTGCACCTTGTTAAGCCACGGTTGACGTGGATGTGTGTCCCCACATCCCTGGCAATTTGTAGCCATCAACTTTGTTGCCACGACACTGCGCCCCGAAAACTCGCAGCAGCAAGCGTATTTATCTAATAGTCCTTTCTACTGCCGCTGTCACAGTTGTCTTCGTCTGGCTCCTGCCCCGGCTTCTGTTTTTCCATACTGCCACTCCTCCTGGCGCACACTTCCTCCTCCTCGGTTTTCCGCTGGCCTGGCTTATTATTTGCCACGACTGCTGCGCCGCAGAAGTTTCGCCTCGTTGGTGTTATGATTTCGATGCGGGCAGCCGAATGGCAAAGTCAGCGACAGCAAACACCCACACACCCAGCTCATCCAACCATCCCCACTGAACCCTCACGACCCACTGCCAGTTGGTCGGAGGAGCATGAGCTGCTTCGTCGCCCGCAGGCCACAACCCCGGTCTCGATCCCGGCTCTGGCTAACCCGCCTGCTGACGCCGTTGACGCAGTCCACCCAACGAGCAAAATACCAAGAGATTTTTGAGATTTTTGGATCATACTTTAAGTTTATAAATATTTGTATAAAATATAAACCTCAATATATTGTTTATTTTATTCTCTAAGGCTCAGAATATAAAGGTTAACAAAAATTAAAATTAATTTCGAAATATTAGTTAATATATTTTTAGTTTCTAATAAAACCAAAATGTTTCCAACTATTATTATTTTACATTGATTAATTTAGATCGTATGTATATTAAGCTATTAAACTTCTTAATTTAAAAACTATTAAACATAAGACTATACATTTGAGTTGGTCTTCACTCGAAGACCTCATTGTTGCCCTTAAAAGTATGCTCTGCATTCCCTTTCGCCATAACACTCATCCGCCATGTCTGCTGGGTAATTTCCTATTTGCGCCTAAGCGAATTGATTTGTATGCCTGTGTGTGGGTTTCTGTGTCTATGACTAAATATGTGTGTGTATGTGTGTGTGTGAAAGCCAGACATGGTCACGCCGTCCGTCCAAGTGGCGGCACGTCGATCCGGCTTGTCGCTTGCGCTGCCTGACATTTGCCGCAGCCACCGAACCCTCCGCCCATAAGCCGAACCGCCCAACCACCCACCGCCCACTGGCAACATGCCTCCGCTGCGTCGTTAAGCTCTTCGCCAAATCTATGTGTGCTTGTGCGTGTGTGTGTGGAGGTCGGTGGGGCAACCATTACCACAACCACCATTAACGTGGCAGGCAGCCAGGCGTTGCTGTTGCTGCCACATCCACAGGCTTTGTTGCTGTTGCCGCTTCTGCTGATTGCTGTTGCTGTTGTTCTTGTTGTTGCTATAGTTGTTGTTGCTTTTATTGTCGGTTGACTCCAATCTGCTTTGGTTGCTGCGCCACACGACGATGGCTCGTGCCACTGCCAGCAGCAGCAGCAGCAGCAACAGCAACAGCAACATCAGCAACGGCAGCAACATGAGCTAACCAAGCATTTCAGTCGGGAAATTTTACACAAACCAAGCGCACGCGGCAGCGGAAAATCGGACAAAACCAGTTGCCAGCCAGACGACAGCCGACAAGCGACGAAGTGAAAAGTCGCAAATGTTTTTGCTCCTTGCCTTCAGTTAGCCCTGAATCCTCGAACCGTGCGGACGTGTGTCCTTGTCGAACGCAATTACACTTTTGATTTAACCACCGAAAGACGTAATTGTTGGCGCGGACTCTAAAACTAAATATTTCGAAATTATTTAAAAATAAAAACGTATTAAAATCTTTTTACTAACTAACGGGCAACGAATTCTTTTGGATTTCGTAAAAATGAGAAAATGACAGCAAAACGTGATAAGGATTACTCAAAAAATAAATCAGCACCTGGTAAAATACAATGTTCTATCCCCTTGACAAATACATTTAATGCTAAAAACAAAACATAAAATGTTAACTGTTTCAATAAGATTTTTTTGTAAAAATAATCTCTTAAGTGAATTGCGACTAAAAAATTTTTAATACAAAAATATTTTTAAAAAAGTGTTCACAAAAAAACCTTTAGTGACATGTTTCTCAAGCTTAAGATACATCTGTGATTGAAATATACTCGCATCTTTAAAAAGTTATATACGAGTATAATCATACAAAAGTATTCTTTGGTTATTAAACAAATACTGAACCAAACACCTGTGGCAAATTTTTGTACAACTCCAAGATAACATTTTATTTTATTTTATTTCTTCTGAATACATAATCGTTTACAATAAAATAAAGTCGGATACATTTAAAAGAAGAAGAAAGCGAATTTAATAAATAAAAATTCAAACAATATCCCAAAAGTTGTAAAACTTTGTAAACCAATTTCTAATGGTTTTGGAAAATGCCATAAGTTGATATGCTAACTTAATTGATGTATAAATAAGTTAAAACCATTTGAACTTACTAAAATCCACTGCACTGTTTAAAGAAAATTCTTGAGCTCAAACTTATAATTGAATTTATTCATTAATAATTTGACCAGGAATCGGATTCAGTGCCGCCGGCTCAACCAATGGCAGCGGCATAAAGTCCATCGGGCTGGTTAGCTCCACACAGAATGTGACTTCGTCACAGGACATCAGCAAGCGGACAAACAAACCACTTATGGAGAAGCGACGGCGGGCGCGAATCAACCAGAGCCTGGCTATCTTGAAGGCCCTTATCCTGGAGTCCACCAAGAGCCAAAATGCCAAGAACGGTGAGGGCCAGGCAAAGCACACCAAGCTGGAGAAGGCGGACATCCTGGAACTGACAGTTCGTCACTTCCAAAGGCATCGCAATCTTGATGATCCAAGTGAGTATTTTCTTTATTATTCTTTATTAAAGATTAACTTATATTTGAAAATTTTAAGTGTTTGACTGATTCGGGGTCTATTAATTATTAGTTAATAAATATTTTTTTCAATATAATTTTTAAAAAATTATCGTGTTAAGAGATATAACTTCAAACTATTAGGGAATAATGTTTGGTGATACACATTTTGAAATGCAATCTTTTGTCTTACTATCAACCTATTTTCCTTTTTACAGCGGTTAACAAATACCGAGCGGGTTACACGGACTGTGCTCGCGAGGTGGCTCGTTACTTGGCCACCCCGGAACCGCCACCCTTGGGAACCATGCCAACTTTGGCGGAGCCCGGCTCCAAGGCGAGACTCCTGCGTCATTTGGATCAGTGCATTGCAGAAATCGACGTAGAGATATGTCCCCACTCGACGGCCACCTTTGCAGAGAGTCCCAGCAGCAGCAGCTGCTTTGACCTAAACCATGCTAAGAAGTCTCAACCGGAGGAGCATTCGTTGGACTACAGCAGTCAGGACTCGAATCCCCTGGACTACAGCAAAGGTCTGAAGCTGGTGGCCACGGAGCAAAGAACCCTACCCGCCACGCCGGCACCGCAGGACGAAAACAACAATCGTGGACTCCTGGCGCAGGCGCAAACTCCGATTCCGATTCAGGTGCAAAGTCAGACCCAAAGCCAAGCATCGCAACAAGATGTTGTTGCTACCAGCGAACTTAGCTACGAGGAGGATCGGAACAAAGTGTGCGCCAATGTCCTGGAGCAGTACAAGCAACAGTTAAAGGCGCATGTGCAGCAGCAACCAGAATCCGCTAATGGAGTCCTGGTTTTACCGCCTCACTACGTACAACTGGCGGCTGCTCTGGGCCTTAGTGCCCAGCCTCTAGTTGATCCCATAGCCACTCGTACGGATTTCGAGCGGTTAATTGAATTGCAAAGAGTTCAGCCACATTTGGCCGGCAAGTTGAGTCCCAGTTTTCCCGGTGGTCTGGAGGCGGCTCATGTAGCAGCCGCGGCAGCTGCAGCCTATGCCAACAGTATGGCGGTAGCCGCTTCCGCCGGCGCCACAGTCTCTGCCATGGCCACATCCGGTGGGGGAACGCCATCAGTTCATCAGGAGAGGCCTGCATCGGTGGCAGCATCTGTCAGTTCTGGAGTTTCTGTGTCGGAACTCAAGTCTATGCCCGCCACACAGCAATCCTCACCACGATCCGAGAGCGGCATCGGTTCCAATGAGAACGAAGCTCCGGTGGCTAGTCCGCGCCCGCAAACAAGCAATGCCGCCCGCCAGGCATTAAGACAGCGCCAGGAGGAGGAATACCACTATATGGCCCAAGCGGCGGCTGCTGCTGCCGCAGCGGCAGCTGGACAAGATGAGAGCATGTGGCGGCCCTGGTGAACTTGTGGGTCAGAGATCCTATGTACCAAGTATGTAGACTGCACCAGGTTAGTTGAGTAAGAACCAGCCGGCAGCCGGCGGTTCTCAACCCCAACTGATCGCCAAGTAAAGGATGATGCCTATTGTTATTACCGCTCTTCTGTGTAGCTCCTGAACCTTTCCGAATTGCATTTCCTACCCGTGCCAATGCCCAAGACTCTCTACAAGATGGGTTCCAGAGCCATGTGGAGCTACCCCTTCATTTATGTGTGCATTTGTTTTCGCCATGAACTCCGCGTTAAATGTATTTAATTCAATACTAAAAGCTAAAATATTTACAAATCAATTGCGATGTTTCCTTTAAAAGGGATGGGATACGGCGATGGAGTTAAAATTAATAGCAGTCTAAATTTACCTTTGAATAGTTTTAGTAATTTTATTAAGGTATATCCTATAAATACGATATAGATCCATGCGTAGGTCCAATAAATACTTGTATTATATATTATTTATATAAGTTTTCAAACAAGAAAAGTGACTTAATCTAGACATCAGGTTCATGCTTTCTACTTTGATTTCATTGCACTTAGGGATTTGCGAGGCGCCGACTGTCGCTGGCGGGCTAGGAATGTCTGGCCCGAGCCCATTAGGATGGCCAGCTTTGAGTCGATTGCATCGCGCTGAGCATTGACACCCAACCTGTAAAAGGCTGAGGTCATCAGCTGCTCCTCCATTACACTCATCTTAGGCTTCGGTTCTTCCTCAACGAGTTCAGCACTCTTTTCCAGGACACTGGCATCTAGAGCTGGGTTTCCAAAATTGTTTATGCACATAATTTAATTTTTTTTAAATTACTTACCACTTGCGATTCGTGGATCTATGCTCTTGATTACTTCTTTGGCCTTCTCCACACATTTTCGGTATTTGGCGTCATACACCAGAATTTCTTGCTCACGTGCAGATAAGTTAGTTTCCAGCTGAGTCACCTTACATTGCAGAGACGTGCTCTGCGTTACTGCTTCCTCCAGTTGAAGTGCTGCGAAATAACAAAAAATAATAGGCATATTTTCTAACGAAATTGATTTGTGACTCACTCTTTTGTTCATTTAGCTCCATTAGCTGCTTGATTTGTTTACCGAACTCGCTCCTGTGTTGAAAGTAAATTAGATATAAAACATAAGATAAAAAACAATATAAATTAAAAGTTATTTAAATTTACTCTTTTAAAATCGGATCATCGCTTTGTGAGGCATGCGACAGGGAAAGAATTCGTTCATTGGCCGTCTTCAACTGCTCACGCAAATTTTCGCAACGTTTATTGGCATCGTCCAGAAGTTGCTACAAAAAATTCGATTTATTTATAAAGTTGCCAATTAGTCATTATCATTGATTACTCACCGCCAAAGCTGTCTGTCCACCCTGCCCCTCTCGCAAGTGCCTTGTTCTCTGCCTCCAGACGCTGTAGTTTTTCCACTGTTGCCGACGGCTGCAATTCCCGGGAAACTGTGGTGCCCGTCAGTGCCGAGGTGGAGGACAATTGTCCGCACTTTAACTCGTCGACAGTTTCGCGAAGATTGTCGCGCTCTTTAAGCAAGCTATCCTTTGCCCGTTGAAGAGCTAGGATTCTTGCCCTCCAGATTCTTGTTGTCAAACTCAAGTTTAACGTTCTTACTGCTCTCACCGTCCAGCTTTGCATGCAAGTCTTGAATCTCCTTCTTGAACAACTCCACCTGACCTTTGGTATTGGCATATCGTTTTGCATCCTCCTCAAACTGCGCATTTTGCTGAACGTAGTCGGCACTGCGCTCCTCTAGGATTTTGACCTGTTTCTTCAGGTCGTTATAGTCTTCTAGCTTTTTTTTGTACGTGTCAAGCTGGGCTTCGCATATCTTAAGTTTGTCGTTGGACTCTCGTAGGACGTCCACTTCGTCTTTCAGTGTGGTCACCTCAGCAGAGCTTTTCTGTTGATTTAAAAAGGTCATTAACATAGTTATCTTTATAATTGGTATTCATACCATTAGTTCCTCGATACGCATTTGCATGTGCAAAAGATCTGTATCCTGTTGTTGGGCCTTGAGTTTTAGATCTTCTCGTGCCCCTTCGGACTGCAGGAGCTCCTCCTTTAGGAGTTCCAACTGGCGGCGTAGCTCGTTGTAGCGCACAGATCCGGTTTGGACCGGTCCTAACGATACTCCATCGTCCCCGATTACCGTGGAGTGTTGCTCCAGGCGGGCAAACTCTTGCTGGAGTTTTTGAAACTCCTGCTGCAGATTGGTTTTCTCATCGATCAGCAAGAGCATTTTCTTCTCGGTCTCAAAACACTTTTGTGCCATTGCGTCCCGCTCCTCCTGCACCGCTTTACTGTCAAGGATTCCACTAAGGGAACTGCGGGACAGGGAGCTGACCACACCGCCCTCCGGCGAGGAGGCTTGCCTCGTAGCCTCCAGTTCCTGCAAAGCGCGCATGATGTTCGCCTGTAACTCCTCCTCCAGGCACATGATCTCAGTAATGTAGGACTGTTTCTGGGCACAGTTAACGGCGCATCCTAAAACTAGTTGGAGCAAGCGCTCAAGCTCACCCAGATCGCATTTCTCGGCAATCCTCTGCAGATCTGGCTTTGAAAAGTCACTCAGCGAGTAATTGAGTACCTCGCTGTAGTAGTCGTACACGGATTGTGTTACTTTCTTCAGGTTGCTCATCCTCAGCCGCCAGTTACTACCCACTGCGCTGGCCTTTATCTTGGACAGCCAGGCATCAGTGAAAGATTCGGGTGCGAACTGATTAAGGGCCTGGGCCAGCGCCACTCCGTCGGCCAGAGATTCCGCATCTGCGTGCGGAGCATTGAGATTGAGGGTTTTGAACCACTCCAACAGGCTGTAGTACATCTCGTTCTTAGGCGCGGACATGTTGCAGGTCTGAACGAAACGCTAAACGAAACAAAACAAAATAAAAATATGCACAATTTTACAAAAAAGAGAGCTCAGCTGTTGCACTGAAAACAAAACAGAAATCGAACTGCAAGGAAGATATCGATAGAAACTGCGATGCACTTTCACTATCGATAAATGCCTTTTTTAATTAAAATATTCCAATATGGGCTTTATATTTTAAAATTCCAATTATTTTCTTTATATTTATAAAACTTTATATTTTCTTGATTTTTTGCTGATTACTAGAGCAGTTAAGATATACAAGTACATATTTCATTTAAACTCAACACATTACAAAATAATAACTTAATTATTTATATTAAAGTCAATTGCCATAGGTGAGCCCTGTTTACTTTCCAGAGCCTTGTTCATACATTTGTTCTGCCCACATAACCTTTTCGTCCTTTTCTTTAATCTTATCCAGCGGGGTCCAAGTTAAATCATATTCTAGCCTATAACTGCCCTTAAAAGTCTGGTCAACCGAAAGATTCCACTCCTGTTAAGTAAATTATGAAAATCGTTTTTCGACGTTTGATTAAAAGTAAATCTTACTTCCGGTGAGAGCATGCTAAAATAGTTTTGACCCGATGCCCTTTGATAAAGATGATAGATTTGGCCGGGTTTTTTGGTAAAGTTGCAGGCTGCACTGTGCAGATCTTGGTTAAGATTGGACTCCTTAAGTATATTCATTGCCTGGGCCTGAAGCATCTTAATCTATCCAATTTAAAGGATTAGTACATAAAAGATTGGCATAAGAGTGTTTGACTAACCTGGTCCATTATTACACCTAGCTTATGGCAAGTACTACTTTTCAATTGCTTGTCAGCATTTTGAATCTGTTGAGCTAATTCTATGATATCCTCCTCCTGATGCATAGAAACACGCATTGGGTCCAACTGCAATTGGGGATTCCTTTCGACCAGTTGGGCTGTAAAGCATAGAACAATTATTTAAACAATACCTCGCAGTACTTACATATACCACGTAATTTACCCTTTTTAACTGCTGTTTGATACGTTAATTGGTCCATATCGACAGTCCTTTTCATCACACGCTTTCGAGCATGAATCAAAAAAACGAAACAGACTTCAGAAAACAACTAAATGTAATCTATAATTTGCACAAAAACAAATAAACATGTGTTCAATTTGTTGATATTTCTTCCACAGGTATCGATTGTTATGTCGATTATCGATCACTATCGATTGAAGCTGAATTTTTGCACGGCCACCTTCAGAAAGGAAGAAGAAGCAGCAGACCAAATTGTAGTTGTATTATTTAGTGCTAGAAATTGTGAATTTTGGCCAATTACTATAAAATTGTAATGTGCTGAAGATCTTGGCAAATTCGTGCGGTAGCCGAGTGTTAGTATAGTGTGAAAAGCAAATCGCGTACGAGTGAACTATGATCCCTACTGGCCACCGTAGCAACGGTGCCCCTGCATTTTAGCGAAAGGAAACACTAAATGCCCAATAAAAAGCGCACGCGCGCATAAAATGCACTATTAAAGGCCTGAGAACTTAAAGTTTTTCATTGCAAACAGCTGGAGCAAGGCGACAGTATCACAAATTGCATTGGTAAGCCCAAAGCCAAGCCATGCCCCCAATTATTGCTTAGCAAACACCCAATTTTGCATATATATACGAGTATATTTATATATATGCTTATGTACATATGTATATGTACGCGATATAAGCGATGTCAAAACGGGCGTGAGTGTGAGTGCTTGGACTTTCGTAAACAACACATGCGGGTCAATTCCTTGAATGACTTCGTTACTTGACCAAAAATTCGGAGTGCTTGGCCTTTATCAGTGGGGCGCTGAGGAATCAGAATCGGAATCCCATGCGGTACATATGTACATATATCCATCTGTCTTATCGGCATGCGTCATGCGAGCTACTGGGCTGCACCCGCACCACAAAAGCTCGGACTCCCTGGAACAGAAGCACTGGCGATCGGGAATCATATCTGGCGTTTGAATAGAATTTTCTCGTTGAACAAAGAGACACTCATAAATAATGGAAGGGTGTCAATAAAAGCTCAAGAGGTTTAATATTCCTTACATGATGGTGCAACAGAAATTGAAATTACTTGAAAAGTGTCTTAAAGTTTGTTGTAAATAACGCAATTTTCTTTGGTACCTTAAAAATATATTCTTATTAACTTTCTTAAATTCGATAAAGAAGTTTAGGGGACCATATGTATATTCAAATAAGTTTCTAAGTATACTTTCGACACCTTTTTTAGTATTTTCAAACATCCAAAGATATCTGTGGCACCTCGATATGCTCCTCCCCCTCCATTTTAGTCATGCGCTGACGAGGCCGCCATTTAGTTGACCCAATTATCAACCAGGTCCCATCAAACTACGCGCCCCGAGTAATGTCAAATGTCACATTTATGTTTTCATCCTTGCAGGCTGAAAAGGAATTACATAAAAGAAGTCAAACGAACGACATGAGAGCCTCAATTCCGCCCGGCATTCGAGTTGTGCGCGGACCCAATTGGATCTGGTCGAATCAAGGTAAGAACGCATTCAGCTAGCCACGAACCAATTTGTTTACGTTTATCCACCTCCAAAGGGGCGAATTAACTTGCCATCCGCTCTCTGTTTATAGATACGATTTTTTTTTTTTTGAAGAGTATAGACTGAAATCGTAAAGCGTACAGTAAAGATCAGTATTAGAAACCTTTACAGCTTATGCATATATTTCAAAATTTCAAATTGGGAATGCCCATGCTTACTCATACTTATTATGAGTATTATTTATTTGAGAAAAGAAACCAGAATCTGTGAATTACTAATGATAACCCCAAAATATTTGTCTAATCACCAATATCCGTTTTTCTGAATCACTCCAACAAACTAAATATACAATTTAATTGATAATTCAGAGATTAAGAATTATGATCAAGTTCAAGTTTGAATTTAAACTTAAAATCAATTATCACTTAGAGGAGTGTTATTTTTTCTATAATGTATAAATAACACTATTTTTGATATTTTTATTTCGAGTTTCTTGCAAAAAAGCAAATATTGAAACTTTTATAGGAAATATTTAAAAATCCGTTCAAATTTTTGCTGGCGATAAGAATATAGCTGATAAAATGTTTATTTCATTTTATAAGAATAATTTTAAAATTAGGAAAAAAAAATATAACTTGGTAAAAAGAAATCATGTGATTAGAAAGGAAATTTTTCCGTTGCTGATATTTACTGTATACCCGAAACTCGACTCACTTGGCATTGGCACCCGTAGAGGGTCGTGAGGGGTGAGGAGAAGGAGGGTTTCGGGGGCGGCGGAATGAAGAGATGTACGTCCGTGTCCGCTGCTGCTGCTCAGGGCGTTGTTGTATGTAAAGAGGACGCGCCTCGCTATTTTTAGCAACACTCACTGCGGCAGCAGCGAAATTCTTGCGCTTACCAATTGCTTCTGCTTTCGCCGCTTCGTTTTATGGTTCATACATATAAGGCGGGGATGTGTGGTTCTCGATAGTACATATATACTATAGCACCCTACGTGGCAGGTAGATATGTCTGTAGCCAGCTGCCAGCCAAACAATAACATTGCGTAGTTTTTAATTGAATTAATTGTCTTTGGCTGGAAAAAAATCATACCATATTACAAATAATTAGTTGACTTAGCTTGTATCATTTCGAAGGTTTAATAAATAGTACACAGTATACCTAGTTGCTAGATTGGAATTAACGGAAGTTTATATTTTTCAAAAATGTTACTAAAACACTCCATTTTGAATTGGATAACAAGTACTAGGACATATTAAAATCTTTCGCTGCCTTAATATTATACGTTCAAAACACAAGTACTGGGTGTTTAAAGAAATATTTTTAGCTGAGTAATACTGTCAGCCAATTGGTGGCTTTAACTGCAACTGCACATGGCGGCAGTAAATGCACACACGGATTAGGTCATGGTATGTGTTCCTCCCTTCCTGAATCGCATTTTGCTCCACCCGAAAATAAGCCTGCGGCATATGTGCATATGTCTGGCGACTATCACATCAGGCGGCAAGGGCGCGTGCCATTTTGTCTCCAACCTTTTTGGAGTGTTTATTTTTAGGCACCGGGTGGGGATCGTGAGTTTTTGGTTCCAGCGGGCCTGCAGATTGGGGAGAATGTGGAGAGTTTATTTTTGGGCCTTTGGTATTCCTTTAGCTGGGGTGTGTTGAAAATAGACATAAACAAAAGTTTCCGATGGGAGCACTGCTATCGGTGCTCCCATTCCTCCTCAGGCCAACATCAAATGTCACCCTCAAGAGAACGTTTTTACATCCACACCGGTGTTCTGGGGTAATTATAGAGCAGCTGCACGTCCAAATCCGAGTGCATAACAGAAATCCGCTTGGAGCCCGAGCCTGAGTCAATGATTGTGGGTATTTATAGTCATGGCGCGTTGTTTATGAGGGGGAAGTGTGCGTTGCATATGTCTGATATCCACCGGATGTTGCTTGTGGATGTTCACACAATGCAGCCCAAGGAAGAGTCTGGCTGCAGTTCTATTGATTCTCCACCAAATCTCGCCAACTCACATCACAATGTTTCCAACTTTGTTTCATTGCTTACGCAACAGACGACGGAGAAGGTCACGTTGGAACCGTTTGCGAAATTGGACGTTGCGGATCGACACATTCGCCGGAAAACACTGTCGTCGTTAACTGGGATTCCGGACACCGGACAAACTACCGTGTGGGTTACCAGAATCAGTACGACTTGATAATTGTGGATAATGCTCAAGTTGGTAAGTAACAATGAGTTCATAATTATAAAATATATTCACTTATACTGGTTACTTTTTCCTAGATTACTAAACTAAACTCATGAATTATTTATTTATAGGAGTTCGTCACTCGAATGTCGTCTGCGATGGATGTTCCAAAGCTGGCATCGCCGGCATAGTATTCAAGTGCGCCCAGTGTGCCAACTACCATTTGTGCGCCTACTGTTACGCGGAAGATCTGCACGACTTAGAGCACCCTTTCGTTCGCTACACCACTCCCAATTCGCTGGGCGTGCGAGTACCAACAAGAAAGGGCTCTAAGCGCATCCAACTGCGTGGAATCTTCGTAGGATCCAAGGTTGTACGTGGTCCTGATTGGGAGTGGAGCGAACAGGACGGTGGTGAGGGTAAGACGGGTCGGGTAATGGAAATCAGGGGCTGGGACAACGAATCGTGTCGCAGCGTAGCCAACGTATCGTGGGTAACCGGATCAACGAACGTCTATCGTCTGGGCCACAAGGGTAACGTGGACCTGAAGTACATAACTGCCACTTGCGGCGGTCACTACTACAAGGATCACATGCCCGTTCTGGGACAGCCGGAGGAGTTGCAGCCAGTGGCGCCGATGGTGAAGCCAAGCTTCTCTGTGGGCGACCGGGTCAAGGTTTGCCTGGAGGTCGATGCCCTGATGAAGTTGCAGCAAGGCCATGGTGGATGGAATCCGCGCATGGTCGAGCACTTGTCTAAACTGGGCACCGTTCATCGCATCACGGACAAGGGTGATATACGGTATGTATTTACAACCATTTTTAAATTATTTGGCTTTTTAACACGACTCAAATCCCAACAGCGTTCAATATGAAAACTGTCCCAATAGATGGACCTTTCATCCCGCTGCTCTCGTAAAGGTTGTGTCCTTTCGTGTCGGGGATCTGGTCACTATTATCAACGATGCTAACAAGGTTCAGCAGCTGCAGAAGGGTCATGGGGAATGGATCGAAATCATGCGACATGTAAGTAAAACTGAAAAAAAAAATTATAAATTTGTAATTTTTATAATAAATTAATCTTTCAGGCCCTGGGGAAAATTTGCAAGGTTGTAAAAGTTTACTCTGACGGTGATCTTCGCATCCAGCAGTTAGACGATGGCTTCGAATGGACTCTTAATCCGAAATGTGTCAAACTGGAGCGTTCGCCGCTGGCCACGGCAGCTGAGCGCTCCAACAGTATGATGGACCTGAGCCACCGTCGAGCGGACCATGTAATGACGCCGCTCTCTGGGCTCTCAGGTAGTTCGGTTGCCGACAAGCTGGTGCGAGAAGCCGCCCAGGGCCATCTGGATTTCGTGCGCCAGTACCTTGACGTAAATCCCGGCCAGGTGGACGTCATGAGTGGTGGCAAGGCTTGCATTCAGGTGGCCTCGCATCAGGGCTACGTCGATCTTGTCAGCTACCTCATCTCCAAGGGTGCCAACGTGAATGCAGTGGACAAGGAGGGCGATTCCGCTCTTCATTACGCAGCATTCGGCAATCAACCGGCTACCATGCGTGTGTTGTTACAGAACGGTGCTGAGGTAAACTTCCTTAACTCCAGCCACTGTTCTGCTCTGCACATTTGTGCGCACAAAAAAACGCCTCACTGCGTTCGCGAGTTGCTGCAGCACAACGCCAACGTAAACATCCAGGACTCTTACGGTGATACTGCACTCCACGACGCAATCGGCAAAGAGAATACGGAAGTGGTGGAGTTGCTCTGCAATGCCCCTAATCTGGACTTTACGGTGAAGAATAATCGCGGATTCAACGTGCTCCATCATGCAGCTCTTAAGGGGAACGTGGTGGCCGCCCGTCGCATTCTGTTACTCTCCCGCCAGCTGGTCAATGTGCGCAAGGATGATGGCTTTGCGGCCCTTCACTTAGCGGCTCTGAATGGACATGCCCAGGTGGTGGAAACGCTGGTCACAGAGGGACAAGCGGAGCTTGATATTCGCAACAATCGCCGTCAGACGCCTTTTCTACTGGCCGTCTCGCAGGGTCATGCAGGGGTGATTGAGCGACTCGTGCGGCTCTCCTGCGACGTAAACGCGAAGGACGAGGATGGAGACAATGCCATGCACCTATGCGTAATTAAGAAATCCAATTTACAGTCAGCCGCCGAACCGCAGCCCGAAGAGGCACCTGAGATCCACAAATTTTACCTGAGTCTAGTGCAGACGAGCGTTCGGCCCAGAAGATCGCTTGATGTACAGCATCCTAATTTACCTTTCGAGGTCTGGTTGTCGAGTGGAGCTAAACAACGCCAATGCCAGCATTTTTGAGTGGATTACGGACCGCAACATCAGGCAGCTGATCTTTGGGCAGCAGCAGGGCGAAGCAGAGTCCTTACCAAGGAACCTTCAAGCCCTCGAAATGTCATCTGCCTCTGGAGAGGAAGTTATTGTGCCCGCTGGAGCAGAATCTAATGGAGCCGGACCTGCAAGTGTAGCAGCACCCCTGCCACCCCAGCGACAGCAATTAGATCTAATGCCAAAGCCAAACGAGATTCCATCAGTGTCAGCAGCAGGAGCTCCATCCACACCCTCTGCCTCGCCGGGCGTTAAGAAACTAAATTCAGATGCAATGCAACAAAATGTCTCACCGCAGGTAGCGCCACGCAAGAAGGCGCCAAAGCCACCGGTTTCTTGTACCTCCAGCAGCACGGCGTTGGAGGCCGGGGCGGCGGGTCCCAGTCCCAGTCCGGTGATTGTGTCCGGACCCCAGGAGTGCATTGTTTGCAATGAGATCTTGCAGTTGGTGCGGTTTGAACCGTGTCAGCACCAGATAGCCTGCGAAGAGTGCGGTATCCGAATGAAGAAATGCCTTCGCTGCGGTGTAGTAATTGAGCGCCGGTTGACGGCCAGCGGTCGGGTAGTAGCCCTGCCCACATCCACGTCGTCGCCTAGTGACCCTACACGCCTGCCGTCCGGGGATTTGCTGCGCTACCTAGAGAACAAGGTGCAAGAGTTTGAGGAGTCACACTTCTGCGGCATCTGCATGGAACGCAAGCGGGACGTGGCCTTTCTATGTGGTCACGGAGCCTGCTCCCATTGTGCCGAAACGCTCCGAACATGCCACATGTGTCGCAAGACAATACTCAAGAAGATCAACCTGTACTGAGCGGCAAAAACGGAGACGATATCAGGATCAGCAGCAATTAAACCAGCAACCAAAGTGGCTTGTATATATACATACAAAAAAAATACTGAACACACACACATTGCCGTATCATGTGCAACTCGAACTAATTATTTATTGATCACCGACGAATTTTACGCGTTCTTTTTGTAACGGTTTATCAACGGCGTCGTATACATAACAAATTATTGTGCACCCTTCACGTGTCTAGTTATTAGCCTCGTTTAACCATGTCTGGTAACGATAAAAAACAAATAGGAAACAAACTAAAAACATAAAGATATTTAATAGTCATTTAATTGCAAATATACAAATATAAAATTATTCAAATGCGTGTTTTTAATTAATGTTAAAAGGAAATAACAAATAAAGATGCTAAAGATTGGAGGGAAATTTCTGAAAAATTATTAGGGTTTAAATAAAGGTTTAGCGATATATAGTCACACAATTCTGCATAATAAATATGAAATATATTTCTTTTGTATTACTGCAGTAAAGTGTGAAACGCTTATTTTCTATAGCATAAACAACCGCCAAGGAATTAAATATTACCTATGCCTGTAAACATTGAAATGCAATAACAATCTCAAAAACCCAATTTCACGGAAAGGTAAACGAACACCAAGTAATCATAGGGGAAAAAAGTTTTAAAACGTAAAAATTTTTATGAAATCCCATCGATAGCAGTAAAATCTCCAGTTATCGATAACCACGTAGCAAGAAAAAAGCAAACACGTCACAACACTTTAGACGCAGTCCCACGCGTAATTAGAGATTAGATCAAAATGGGCAAACAAGTTGCCGATTTCCAGAGCAGCAAGCTTCATTTTTACCAGAAGTTAGCGTTGGCCGTTATCCTAGGAGCCGTGCTCCTCTCCCTGCCGTCATTATGCGCTGGTCAGGGCAATCCCAGTTTCAAATACTCGCGGGAAGCCAACGAAAATTTTGATCCGAAGAAGGCTCCGCGGGCGGAGCACCATCATCACCATGACCACGATCATGACCACGAGCATCATCACCACGACCACGGTCATGATCACGCAAACGATCATCATCATGGAGCACGATCATGGACATCATCATCATGGGCACGGAGGAAGTCACACTAAGTCGAAGCCGGCTTTAGGTAAGCCATAAGCTCTTCACTAATCAAATGGTAAAGTTGGCCTTAATATCTTATAGATATGAGTACCATTTGGCTGCACTCCATCGGTTCTACTCTTCTTATCAGTGCCGCTCCCTTTGTGCTCTTGTATATTATTCCCCTCGATAACAGCGAAGCAATGAAGCCGCGGCTAAAAGTTCTTCTGGCTTTCGCATCCGGCGGCTTGCTGGGCGATGCTTTCTTGCATTTGATTCCTCATGCCACGCATCCCCACAGTCATGGAGATCACGACCACGATCACGATCATGATCACCATCATCACCACGAGGAACACGAACACGGACACAGCCACGACATGAGCGTTGGCCTTTGGGTTCTTGGTGGAATCATTGCCTTCCTGTCTGTGGAAAAACTTGTTCGCATTCTGAAGGGCGGCCAAGGAGGACACGGGCATAGCCATGGAGCCCCAAAACCCAAACCAGTGCCAGCTAAAAAGAAGTCATCTGACAAAGAAGACAGCGGAGATGGAGACAACGCCGCTAAGCCAAGCAAGACCAAGTCTAAGAAACAAGAACCCGAACCTGAGGGAGAAGTGGAAATTTCCGGCTACTTGAACCTGGCGGCCGACTTTGCCCACAACTTCACCGACGGTCTGGCCATCGGTGCTTCCTACTTGGCGGGCAACAGCATTGGCATTGTAACCACTGTCACCATTCTGCTGCACGAAGTCCCCCATGAGATTGGTGATTTTGCCATTCTGATCAAGTCGGGCTGCTCCAGGCGAAAGGCAATGCTGCTTCAGCTAGTCACAGCCCTTGGAGCTCTGGCTGGCACAGCTTTGGCTCTTTTAGGAGCTGGAAGCGGAGACGGATCCGCGCCTTGGGTGCTCCCATTCACAGCCGGAGGTTTCATTTACATTGCAACAGTGAGCGTGCTGCCAGAGCTGCTGGAGGAGTCCACAAAGCTGAAACAATCTCTTAAGGAAATCTTCGCGCTCCTAACCGGTGTAGCCCTAATGATTGTCATCGCCAAGTTCGAGTAGTTTACTGGGGAGCAGAGCTAATGCATAAATCAAGCTCTGTAAGTATGGTCTGAAAAAAAGCACAAGACAATTATACGGAATTTGTTTAGAAGTCTTTTCTTTGATTTTTCGAATCAATGGAAGTATTAAACAAATAATTCTTTAAATTGTTTAATTCCCACTTTCAGAACCCGTGATTAGCTCTTAATATAATTGATGCAGCCGTGATTAAGGGTGCTTAAGCCTTCAAAATTTGCGCTATACTTCGAAATTATATTTTTATAAATAGTCAAAAATACACTATAAAAAGAAACATCACTGACGCTTCGCCCCATTTAAGGTGGTTTTTATCTCGTTAAGGCAATACTCGGCCTGCTCTATGGCATCCGGATTCTGGTATTGCTTGCCCAACTTCCATGCCAGCCGGCAGGCGTTCTCCGCCTGCTTCATTAAACCTTCGCGAAGATACACGAGCCCGAGGTTTGCCTGTAAAATACCCTCCTGTGTCGCATCCTTCAGCTCCTTTGTCAATTCCATCGCCTGCAAAAGGGTTTCCCTTGCCTCTGTGTACTTTTCCAGCTGCAATAAACTTGATTGATCTAAAGAGGATATGGGCTATCGAGTATGACTTACGTTCACATAAGCCACGCTAATATTGTTCAAAATGGTTACCGAGGCATCATTAACAGCGCCATAAACATCGATAAGCGTATCGAACGCCTCCTTAAAGAGATTCTTCGCCTCCAGGTATTTGCCCTGCTTCATCAGCAGCTGCCCAAACCTAAAAAGACAAGAATTAGCAAACGCATTAACTGGTACTAAAACTATGAGCTGGGTAGCGGCAATGGAAACACCTTCAATACCAATTCTTTGTCAAGCCATACAGCTCGAGGATGTCCTTGTCTTCTGGCATTTTCTCTAGGAGTTTGGCCAACTGCTGCAGAGTCCAGGTAAAGCCTTGAAAGCTCTTCTCCAGATCGCCCTGTAGCTGAGACATGTGCGCGATCTTGGAGCTAATGTGCAGTATCTAAAGGCAGAGATCTTAACTAGAGAAAACAGTCTAAATCGGCCACCTACCTTGGGACTTTCTTCAGTGTGGCCATCGGCAAAGAGACGTTTCATTACGTCTGTAAAGATCTTTTCTGCCTTCTTAAACTGTTCGCGTTCCATGGCCAGGTTAGCCATTAGATCGAAAACATACGTAATGCCGTCCTTGCTCTGAATATCCTGGGCCATTCGAAGTGCCAGATGAAGCATCTGTTCGGCCTTGTCATACTGTTCCCGCTGGATGCAGAGGATCGACCTTTTTATGGTCTTGACCAGCTTGTCCTCTGGTGTCTCCTCTTTTTCGTCACTGCCTCCAAACAAATTTAGCATAAAGGCAGAGGAAAATGCCCAAAACATTCTGCTGGAAGAGCTTGGAGCGGGCGGAGCTGTCCAAGCCACATTGTGATCAGCTGCATTGAAGCACAACGATCGTAATCCCAATTTTGGCCAATAACTAGTCCTCTTCAACGGTGCCAAATGACAGTATTCCCTGGGATTTGGGACAAGCCGGAGCCTACCGACGACTTGGGTCAATTTGCAAATATGTTTTACTATCATATTTATTAGACTTTATTCATTTTTTTTAGCTAAACCTATTATATGCAGGGAATCAGCAGGTACGGTATTGAAAATTATGAAACAGTAAATAGAACAGTGTTGCAAAGCACAGTAAAAGATATTTGAAGATGAATTTTATATCGCCCAGAAAAGTTTATCTGCGGAAGACAAACAGTGTGTTTTTAAGTTATGCGCCAATACCAATAAAAAAGCTTCAGTAATGTTTTCAAAAACTTAATGCTTTTGTTTTTTATTTGCATATTAGAGATGGAACCGGCGCACAGTACATTATGGAGAAACTTAACCTACGATTTGTCACTTAAATGCGTACGAGTAATGAATATTTATAAATGGCAGATAAATATGTATGATTTTAAAAGGTGACAAGAGAAAGTACGATTATATTTTAAATTTGAATACTTCCTATCTGCATTCGATATTTTCTGTACGAAAAATATCGATAGTCGAAACACGGACGATAGACCCACCCGATTCAACCCTGCATATTGATGGCGGATTGACGCTCTTTTGCCTGGCAAAATAAATTTTCTTTATAAAGAAAAGGTGCAGGAAAAGACGTGGAGTGAATTCGAATAAAAGTGCATGAAATAGCTGTGGGTCCACCGGCGTTACCTACGTTTTATTTCAGATCTTTCCAGTGTCGGAGCGTTTTTGGTCAGCCATGAGACGGCGCAGCGAGCGAAAAAAGTCGTCGTCCCCTGCTCCAATGCCGGTGACAGTTGCACGGCGAAGTCGTCGCTCCCGCAAGGTCTCCGAAAACGAGAAGACTGAGGACGAAACTCCAGTTGCGGCACAAAAGGATATTCCAGACACCGAAGCCTCAACATTGCGCAGCGAAGAAATCAATGAGGGTCGTGCCTCCAGCGAGGAACGTGCCGGATCTGGATCATCCCCAGTGCGCAAGAGCCGCGGCAGCCGAACGACTCCCAAAAAGCGGACGGAGAGCAAGGGTGGCGATAAGAAGGTTGACACAATACCCGAGGAGGAGCCGGAGAATGGACAGGATGGGCCCAGAGATAGCGTGGACGTAGAAAAGGCTGTGGAGCCGCCCATTGTTAAAGAGAGCGAGTTCCAAAACCTTGCCAAGAAGGAGGATCAGCTGACTCTAGCAGAAGAATCCCAAACAGAGCCCGCAGACAAGGATAAGGAAGTTGAAAAAGAGGATGAAAAACCGCACCAGGATGTCCCAGATGGCGAAGATGACAGCAGCAAGCAGAGCGAGCCAGTTCAAGAGGTAAAAGTTCCTTCTCCTTCTAGTAAGGATGAGGAACAGCTAAAAACGTCAAGCGATGTATTAGACATTCAGACAGAAGAGGTCGAGGAAAGGGATGAAGAAGCGCCAAGGAGCAGGGAGTCAAAGAAGAAGCACAAGGAACAGAAGCAGGAAGAACAAGCCGCGGAGGAAGAAGAGCAAAAGGAGAACCGGAAGCAGCAAGAGGAAAAATCAGAACAAGCTCAGGACCAACCATCAAGTATTCCGAATGACAAGCACGAAGCATCCGTAAATAGCACCACATCAAATATAACATCCGCTCCAGTGCTGCAGCAACAGCGATCGGTGCGGAAGCGAAAGTGGTTGACAAATAAAAAGTCTTTGGATCGTGCTCCCCCCGTGCTTGCAATTTCAACCGATTCTCTGAAGAACATTATAGCCGATGTCGTGCAGCCGGTTCCTCTCAGCGATGTACAACTAGAATCCTCTTCTGAAGAGGAGGGTTTAGTTACTAGTGATCGCGATTCCGATCGATCTGTTTCGCCGACGGCCACCTCTGAAATGCGTAATGATCGCGAAACTGAGGATAATGCTGTTACCACCTGCAATACCACTGCAGAGGCGACAACAGATAAGGAGGGAGCAGGACCCGGATCTACCGGCCGAATCACTCCGCCGGCAGCCACAGAGACGGTGGCGGCACAGGGCAGCCTGAGCAAAGCCACAGTCGCCACCGCTGCGCCACAAATTGTCCGTGACCCTAGTCCTGCACGCAATCGCGCCAGCCACGTGCTCTACATCACCAATCTGGTGCGTCCCTTCACAGTACTGCAGCTTAAAGGTCTGCTGGCACGGACGGGAAAGATCGTAGAGGAAGACGGGTTCTGGATAGATCGCATTAAGTCGAAGTGCTTTGTTGCTTACTCCACTGAAGAGTAAGTATCATAATAAAAAGAATTATATAAGAAGAAAAAAAGAAATTTTGACTAACTGCACAATTAAAGATGTAATTTTCCACATCATCCTCTAAAATTAAACTTAATTTATAACTAGGTAGTATATTTTATAACTAATAGTAGTATGTTACGCTTCATCTTTATAGCGAGGCTATTGAAACCCGCCATGCATTGCACGGAGTTCGCTGGCCAGTCTCTAATCCGAAATGTTTAAATGTAGATTTCGGCAGTCGCACAGACATGGATCGTGCAATACTATCAACAAAGGATGAGGCGCCTAGGTATGGACAGGAAAACACTAGAGATAACCAGCAATCCGGCAACGCTTGGTCTCGACTAGAACCGTCTGACAAAAAGGTAAAAGAATATTATAATAGTAACATAGAAAGGCAGCTTACTTTTGTTTTTTGGTTCGTGTAGCCTCTGCGCCCGGTACGCGAATGGGATGTGGGCAAAAAGGAGCCGAGTGACCACGACAAAGCCAGCAACGACAGACGTCGGGGGAGCAAGGATCGACTGGACTCAAGATCTAGGGATGCGGATCGCCAAGGGCAGGATAGGAAACGGTCCAGGGACAGAGAAGGGAGAGGTCGAGAACGGGAACGAGAGCGCATTGATCGCAATGCACTTGCAAGAAGTCACAGTGGATCACCAAGTAAATAGTGTGAAATATAGGTCCAATTTGCGAATTAAATATAAATTCTCTTAAACAGTGCCCAAAACAAAAAGGAGGGAGAATGAACCGCCTATCAGGTTATTAGATGATCTATTTCGAAAGACTAAGGGAACTCCTTGCATATACTGGCTGCCACTGACCCCAGAAGCGGTACGTTGCTATTTCTTAAGAATATTGGAAACTGAAAACATTTTATATCTTCATTACAGATCGCAGAAAAGGAGGCATTCCGTCAGAAACGTATCGAGGAACACAAACAGCGCATTAAGGAGCGGGAGGAGCGTCAGAAAGAGCGTGAGAAGGATCGTGACCGCCAACGCGACACGCGTCGCAATCGTTCCAATGAACGGCGACGATCCCGCAGTCGTGAGCGGGAGCGACGACGTTACTAGGCGGAGGCTTGAGATTGAGCAAATAAATGTTGAAAAAATCTCAAAAACTATCAACATCCAAAAAAAAAACCTAAAATCATAAAGCAGGAACTAAATATTCTGCAGGGTCCCATAACCACCCGAATATTTTCTATTTTTCGAGCGATTTGCGTTTCAAAAATATAAAGACGTTGTAATATTCAACTTGAAGTGAAAGAACTTCGATTTGAATATTTCCTCCAACGTCTCATCCATTTTCTGATTTTGAGATTTAAAACTCTCTTTTTCTCCGTTGTTTTTCCCCAATTCATATATATATCACATATATATTTCCATATATATATATATAACCTGATTTGATTTCTTTCCTCAAATGTAGCATTTTACAGCGCCTAACGTCACTTCACCCCAAATACAACCACAGCATCGCCAGATATGCGCCGGTATCAACATCAACGCAATGGAAATTTACCATCGGAATCTAGAAACTCTTGCAGCAAGTTACCATGCTTACATCAATATATTTAACTACCACAAAATAATTGATTAAATAATTGTAAAGTCAATATTTCTTAAAATTTTAATGAACTTAGAAATACAGTTTAACAGTCGGCAAGCTTGTGACAATGCCAAAAATATATGTGTTTTAAAGGTCTGAGAAATAAACTTTGATTCCGTTAGACTCTTTATAACATTAAATGTTTAAAATAGTAGAATAATAAGAATTTTCAAAAATTCTGTGTTGACTACTCAAAAATTTCGAGCAGGTTTTATTTTAATTTATGGTTTTTTGTTTACATTTCTTAATATACAGTTTTTATGTAAGTTATCAGGTAACGAATTTTATAGTAGAATACCGCTGTCAAAATACCCCTTAGATAAGACTTATCGATATTGAATGTTAAAAAATTATCGAAGGCTCTTATGAAAATTGTGTTATCGATTAGTTTTACTTTTTATTAACATTAATTTAGTGAAAAATGTGGTCCGACACAATATTAATTGTTTTTATTTCGGTTTGCACCGCATTTCTGGGTGAAGGTGAGTGGAAACTTAGTCAATTAAAGTGTATAAACCTTAATCTAATTTTAGGTCTCACCTGGGTTCTTGTTTACCGGACGGAAAAGTACCAAAAGCTAAAAACCGAGGTGGAAAAGCAGAGTAAAAAGCGTAAGTCGGTCAAAAGCCCTCAGATATGGTCACGAGATAACCCGCACTTTCTTGCAGTGGAGCGCCGCAAGGAGATTCACGGAGATTCTTTGGATAAAGCAGTAAAAAAGAAGATCGAGCGGGATGAAGAGAAATTAAAGAACAATAACCGCGATCTTTCGCTGGTCAAGATGAAGTCCATGTTTGCCACAGGATTTGCCTTTACCGCTTTGCTGAGTATGTTCAATAGCATCTTTGACGGCCGTGTCGTTGCCCAGCTGCCTTTCACGCCCATCTCCTGGATCCAGGGTCTGAGTCACAGAAATCTTTCTGGCGATGATTACACGGACTGTTCCTTCATCTTTTTATACATCCTGTGCACCATGTCTATTCGTCAAAACATCCAGAAGCTTTTGGGTTTTGCGCCGTCGCGAGCCGCCAGTAAACAAGGCGTAGGTCTCTTTGGTCCCGCACCCGGCCAGTTCAAATAGTTAAAATTCACCCATTAAACAGTTGCATTTCATTTATAATGCACCATCAACAATACTAGCTTAAAACATTATTTAACTCGTACATGGGTTGGTCCACAATAAGCCGGTCAAAGCTCAGACGGGAGAGGTCAATAGTTCGGAATTGACCGTCCATGATCAGCTCCGATATGGCTCTCCCCACGGCCAGAGATTGCTGGATTCCATGCCCACTAAAACCAGTGGCCAAATACAGATTGTGATAGTACGGATGAGCTCCCAAAATACCGTTCTCGTCGTATACATTCTGATCGTAACTCCCTGACCAACTATCCACCACTTGAGCTTCTCCAAGAGCTGGAATCCGTTCCGCTAGCTTAGGTCTGATGTGCTGATCAAAATATTGTAAATCCACCGTTAGGTCATTATTGTCCTCCGTCGAGTCTTGACCGCATATGTAGTTGCCGCCCAGGCCATCTCTGCGAATAAAGATGCCCGAGGGATCAAGTGTCATAGGCATTGTCATTCCGGGTGCACTTTGCGCCTGCGAGTTGACGGCATACATGTACCGCTTGCGAGCATCGATAGGCAGGGGAACCTGTAGCATACCCGGACCCACACCTATCTTCGCCAGTCGGGCCACTTGTCCGGAACTAGCACCGGCTGCAATCACACATAAGGCAAATTTGCAAGTGCGGCTGGTGCCATCAGGCAGTTTGATTACCGCCTTGTCCAGGCCCGTGTAATTGCCTTCGTTGGATCCGGCGTCTCCAACTACAGATATGTCAGTTTGGGATTTAAATTCAAAGTCCACAACCTGACCATTGAGGAAGTGGCCGCCATAACTGCTGGCAGAGCGCCGCAAATTGCTGAGCAGGGCCAGAGGATTGAACCAGCCTTCCTTCTCCAATCCATGACAGCCCACAACGATACCTTTGGTGTTCAGCCAAGGAAAACGGACCGCAAGTCGATCCGCCGTTAGAAGTTCATTCTGGGCACCCAGTTCGTTTTGTAACTGGGAGGACCGCATAAGGCTTTCGGCATGTTCTTCGCCAGCGAGCATCAAATGACCATGCGGAGTAAATTGGATGGGTACGTCCTGACCAAAGTGTTCTCTAGCGCCACGCAGAAAGTCAGCAGCGAAGAGAGACATCTGGATGTTTTCGGGCAGGGAAAATTGCTGGCAAAGACCACCAACAGAAACTCGAGTGGCGGAATCAGCGTACTGTAATTATGAGAATATATTAGTAATGTATTGAAAGCATATTTTATCATTTTGAATTATTTTCATACCGTGTCATCATTCTCGACAACCACCACATTAAGACCGTCCCGTGCCTTTTCTTTGAGCCAGTAGGCAATGGAAGCTGCCCACTCCACCACCGCCCAACGATAAGCACATCACAGTGTGTCTGAAAGTCATCCGGCAGCGAGGATTTCCCTTGACTCACCGGCGAAATGGAACTTACTTTGGGTTGGGATGCGATTTTCTTCGATCTCAGTGTCCTTGGGCACAAAGAATTCCTTAACTTTGCGCATATCGTTACCAAGAAGGCGAAGGGTTCTTCTTATCGGATGCAGATCATCCTCGCCGGATTTATTTCCTCCGGGTGATCCACTTCCATTGCTTGGCGCTCCAGCCGAGTAACTACGGCGCTGCAGGAGGCGCACTATATGTCTGGACCGCAACATCTTGGCCTATATTTACAATATTAATTCATACTTCTTATTTTATGTTATTTTGTAATAACTGATAACGTGCAAAGTTATCGGTATATCGATATTAAAATAATCGTAGCGGCTTTTTGATTTGAATGCAACAAAAGTGAAAACAAAAATATGGGAGCCCGTATAGTAAGTTGATTTTCTTATCTTCTTTAAAGAAAGTTTCAAAACAAATGTATTTTTTCTGAATATGTTTAAATATTACTATGATAAGCGCAGTATCTTAAAACATCTTCAATCGAAAAGTTTAATCGATATGATGAGCTTAACAGCGCTGTTAAGAAACACGTATTCCAACACTGGATGTTAGCCGTAAAGCGAGAAGAAGAAGCAACATTACTAGGCATTTTTGATTTGGATTTGGGAAAAAACAAAAGAAAAGTCGGCCTTAACTGTGACATTAGCAAATTAAGAGTTGTACATCATGACCAACGCAACGGATATCGGTGCTCACGACGTAGAGATGGAGGTGGATCCTACCGCTGAGACGCTAGCGGATGAGAAGAAAAACCAAGACGTAGCCGCAGTGCAAGAGATTCGTGAACAGATCCGTCAGATTGAGAAGGGGGTGGCTTCCAAGGAGTCGCGGTGAGTTTTTCTGTGTCTTTAAATCCCCCCTGCTTTAATAAAAACCTAATTTCCTTCGACAGATTTATTTTACGCGTTCTTCGTAATTTGCCCAACACTCGTCGCAAGTTAAACGGCGTCGTATTCAGAAATCTGGCCCAAAGTATTTACCCAGCTGGTTCGGATCGTGAGGCTGCTGTTGCTTTAATGCCCGCCGTGGAAAAGGACGCAACCGAGTTGCCTGATGTGCCCAAGAAGCAAGTAGCCAGCAAGGCTCCAATTGCCGAGGTGGATGCCTACTTCTACCTACTCCTGCTGGTCAAGTTGATCGACGCCAGTGATTTGAAGCGCGCCGGAACTTGCGCTGACTCTTTAATGGCCAAAATCTCTATCCAGAACCGCCGCACCCTAGATTTGATTGGTGCTAAATCCTACTTCTACTTCTCGCGAGTTGCGGAGCTGAAGGACTCTCTGGAGGGTATTCGCGCTTTCCTGCACGCCCGTCTGCGAACTGCCACGCTTCGGAATGATTTTGAAGGACAAGCTGTGCTTATCAACTGTCTACTGCGAAACTATTTGCACTATGCTCTTTATGACCAGGCCGACAAGTTGGTCAAGAAGTCTGTGTACCCGGAGTCCGCCAGCAATAATGAGTGGGCACGCTTTCTTTACTATTTGGGACGCATCAAGGCCGCCAAACTGGAGTACAGCGACGCCCACAAGCATTTGGTTCAGGCTCTGCGCAAATCTCCACAGCACGCGGCCATAGGCTTTCGCCAGACGGTACAAAAGCTAATCATCGTGGTAGAGCTGTTGCTTGGCAACATCCCTGAGCGCGTTGTGTTCCGGCAGGCCGGTTTGCGTCAGTCCCTGGGCGCCTACTTCCAGCTCACGCAGGCCGTGCGTCTGGGCAATCTGAAACGGTTTGGAGACGTTGTGTCGCAATTTGGTCCAAAGTTCCAGCTGGACCACACTTTTACTCTGATTATCAGGCTGCGCCACAATGTGATTAAGACGGCCATCCGTTCTATTGGTCTGTCGTACTCGCGCATTTCGCCACAGGATATTGCCAAGCGGTTAATGCTGGACTCTGCTGAGGATGCAGAGTTCATCGTTTCGAAGGCTATAAGGGATGGAGTCATTGAGGCCACGCTGGACCCGGCACAGAACTACATGCGCAGCAAGGAGAGCACTGACATCTACAGCACCAGGGAGCCACAGCTGGCTTTCCACGAGCGTATTTCGTTCTGCCTAAACCTGCACAATCAGAGTGTCAAGGCTATGCGCTATCCCCCAAAGTCCTACGGTAAGGATCTGGAGAGCGCTGAAGAGCGTCGTGAGCGCGAGCAACAGGACCTTGAGTTGGCCAAGGAAATGGCGGAGGATGATGAGGATGGTTTCTAAGCCCTTTCTGCAGAAATTCTATTTGTACTTGCATTCATTTTCATAGAAACATAATCCGCAATTAAATAAGTTATAAAATTTAAAGCTCTCGAGTTGGCGAATTTGCTAACTTTTTTATTTTATTATATACATTAAGAAAAAGTTACCGTTTTGGACTCGAATTTTAAATCTTATAGAGAATAAGTATATTTTTTTAAAATTACCCATATCCGGACTTTTAGCGGGCCTTTTTGAAAAAGTCTGGCAACAGTGGCTGAACAAATTTAAAAATTTTCCTGAACGTCGAAGATTTTTATTAAAGATTCTTTACCTAAAACGAACTGAACATAAAAGCTTTAATTTACATATGTCGAAAATATTCTAAATTATCTTACAACTAGCTGATAAGATGCATATTTTTTCGTGAGAAACATTTTGGACACTTTTATATACGGTCACATTGTAGCAAACAACACAAACAGGAGCTACGGTCACACCGAGCTAAAGTGGAAGGGAAATAGAAAATTTTTGACAAAAAAGTGCACACAATGCAAACCAAATAGATTGCACGTATTAAATGCCCAAATACGCGAGGTCACCTACGCTGTCGTATTAACAATTGTTGGCTAAAAGTGCAGACGCGCGCGTTGCCTGGATTATCGCGGAAATTGCAGAATTTTTGGCAGCAACGAGTAGTCTCCCCCGAATAACAGCGGCCGAACAACGAGCGTTTGGGAAGTAGCGAGTGCCTAGCCAATGTGGTGCAGCCCCCCGCCATCCGCCGCCCGCGCACTACCTCCCCGCTAACGCGCAAAATATACGCGACTAGTTGTAGTTGTGGGCAGCAGAGAAGCAGCAGCAGATCAGCTCAGCCTTTGTGTGCAGATTAGTGGAGAAAAAACAGCAAAACTCCAATTAGCAGAGCCCAGGAAAGCGGATCCGGTGTCCTGCAGCGAATCCCTGGCAGCACTCAAAGATTCCGGCTGGGATGCAGAAGCAGCTGCTGCCACCTAACGAGATTCTGGACGCCTTTTGCACCCACCACACGTAACTAGAGCACTCACACAGACGCGCGCACACACGCATTCACACACGGGCCAACTGGCGAACGGGCACACTAGCGTGTGGCCATTGATGCAGTGCACCCGCTTGCAGGGATTCGGGATCGGTAGGTGAAAGGACTGGGACAAAAGTGGAGATGATTTGCAAACAGGACGTGCTGCTGTGGTTTGAAAAACTCGAGAGCTACAATCGGATCGAAACGATGTACGCCCTGCTCACCGCCTGCCTGCCATTCGAGCTGCGTTTCCTCGGCACGCTGCTGGAGGAGCAGGGCCGTTGTGACTCTGAGACGCTACGCGGCATGGAGTTGCGGGCGAACAACCCGCATGAGCTGGCCGCTGACATGGTCAACTGCCAGAAGGGCGACCCCACCGACCGGAAGATCCGGCGCAAGATGGCCCTATATTTGGCACTGATCCGCGCCTGCAACCGAAATTGCGTCAGTGAGATCTATCGCACTCTGGAATGCTGGGGCGAGTGTGATTTTGGCTGTATAAACGACCAGGACACGCTGTTGGAGCTGCTGCTGGTATACACGATGGCAGCCATTCACCCAGTTTTCTCAATGGAGGAGCAGAAAAAAATCTTTGGAATACTGGCCAAGATCAAGGAGAATAAAATAGTGGCAGAGCGATTTGCGCCGCAAATGCAATCACAGACGCAAACGCCTTCGACCCAACACCCGCACCCGCCGTCCCCACATGACCTGATCCTTCAGCAGCCACCACATGTGATCCACCAGATGTCAGGGCCGCAACAGCCACACCCTCAGCATCCCCAGATGGTGCAGGTGTTGCAGACGCCGCAGGGCAACATCCCCATGTTTATTCCCCAGCACTTTCAGAAGGTGAGTCTTTATACATACAGAAAATAAGATAAAATGCAGATTAACGTTTTGATTTTAACCCCTAGATAATGCCCAGCTCTGATGGAACACACCAGATCAGTGTCGACGGCATGCCGCATCTGATGCAGCCGAACATCACCATTCCAGCGGACACGAGTGCCATCATCGGTCACCAAAACACAGGGTGGTCGATGCGCCACTACCTGCCACAACCGCCCCACCAACAGCCAGCTCTGCAACAGCAGCCGCCGCCGAGTCTAGACCATCAAGTGCCACCGGCCAGCTCGCCCATGCTGAGCCAGCAGTCCTCGCCCTCGAGCAGTCGCACCACGAGTCCCCAGCGGGATCGCTCCCTCATCAACGTTCCACTGCAGGCGCAGCAACAGCAGCCACATCAGCAGCAGCCGATGAGGAGTATGTCGCAGAGACTGACGGGTCAGAAAAATGCGCGACGTCCTTCGGCGGAGACAACGCCACCGCCCACCTCAATTGGCGGCGAGCAGCAGCACGATGTAATTATTAGATAATATCAAAAAAAAAAAAAAAAAAAATAGGATATTCAATGAAATTAATCGAAAAATAACAAATTTAAAGTTAAAAATTAAGAAATGATTGTTTGTTAATTTTTAAGTTTAGACTTTGCAATCTGAAGAAAAGCTTTTAGTTAGACAACTTATCGCAAAATTAAAATTTAACTAAATATTTTGTTTCCTTACAGAGTATCAACGAAGGCGGAAGCAGCAATTCCAGCGGAACCAGCTTGCACAGTCTCATCCGCAACGGTTTTCCGCGTCCAGGACATCACCATCGAGTCAAGGCGAACACGTTTATACCACAGCACCAGCAGCAACAACACTTTCAGACAACCAACTACAACATGAACGTTATGATGCAAAGTATGAACGTTAACGACGATGGCAGCGGATCGATGATGGGCATGAACTCCACCAAGAATACAGCGACCACAGGCAGTGAATCGGGCAGTTCGAATGGATCTTGTGGTGATCTGTCGCCTTCGGAGACGCCGACACCCACTCAACTTACACTGCCATTGCACAGTTCGGTAGATGCGGGCATGGGCATAATCACCACGGTGCTCCCACCCGCCTTAGGCAACTATCAGCCGAAGCAACACCACCTCAGCTACAAGCAACAGCAGCAGCTTAACTTGCAACAGCGGCTAAACGGGCGCAATGGTATGGATAAGAGCTACCAAGTCTATACAACGGGAACGCCAAGTATCGTCAGCGATGCGCAGACCATCAGTAGCGGCACCCTCCAGCAGCAACCTCAAACTCTGCTCATTAGCCAGTCGCCGGTAAGCACACCCACGACAACTGTACTCCTGCAGCCGCAACAGCCACCGCCAGCAGCCTACAATACGAGCTATCCATATCACCAGCGAGGACCTCCGCCGCCACAGCAGACGATATTCCAGGCGCACAGTGCTCCGCCGCCGCAGACGGTACGTGGTGGCTTCCGTTATCCAATGGGTCCACCACACAACGGTGAGCTCATCTACCCGACCTTCCACACCAGCCTGGCCTTCCTGCCAATGACGGCAGGCGGTACTCCCACGGCAGTTACGCCACCCCAGCTCCAGAACACTGCAGCCGTGGTCAGCACGAACGCAGTGCCTGTGCAGACAGTACCCACGCCACAACAACAACAGGTTCCCAGCACGACGCCCTACAGCGCGCTCACCGTCTGTCCCATAACGGGAGCGGGTGGTGGTGGGAATGCGCCGAAGGTGATATCTTGCTACAACTGCGGATCCCAGACCCACAGCGGGCGGGAGTGCCAGGAAGCATCGATGGAAGATGTGACGCGAAGCGCCAGCTACAAGTTGGACTACTCGGAAACAAACATGGATGCAAACTCCATGGGCGACCATCACAAGGATGTTGGTGGCATGCAGATCAATTCAGCGACGACTGCGGGAACGGTGACCAGTACGGGGAAATAATACGGAGGGTCCATATATTCACGTACATATATGGAAATATAATTACTGCTATATTAATGATTATGCATAATCCTTACCTACTTATACGATTTAACATTTATTATGATTGTGTAGTGCGGAAATCAAATTTCTCGCCTTTGCCACGTCTCTTAGTTCTGTAAGCCTCTCAATTCGTGTTAATTCGATTCGAAGATCGGCAGGCGGCTGCCTAAGTCTTGACAAACCTTATCCGTAAATAAGAATGATTTAGATGCGCCCTGCCCTGCCACTATCCAAACACCCTTAACACCCACATACACATAGTCGATAACGAATTTTAGTCATATGCCACTCTAAATATTTCTAATGTTAAGTTGAATGTACAACAGCAATAAGTAATTATCCTAATCCGCGTTCCGTACACTCACTCACACGGGCAAATGTTACAAATGCCACGATCGAATTAAGCTAAAGAACCATTACGTAAGCCATTACGCGACCACGACGGGCGTAACCAAACCGAAAACGTAACGAAGGAGATGAAGTAACCTAGGAAAACAGAACACACGTAACATACGGAATGAATACCTAGCAAATATATAAAAATTGATTATGTGTATAAACAAATGAGCGTAGCAGCACAATGTGCATAGTTAACCGACTTATTTTTTTTTTCAAGGAAGCCTTTTGATTTCTTACCATCCATCCTGTACTCTAGTTACTCCTTCATCTATTTATTTGCTGCTCCTTTGTTTAAACATGTATTTTAGCAATGTTTTTTGTACTTTATATAAATACCTACATACTTATATACATATATATATATAAAATATTTTATTTTAAAGCAAACAACCGTATATGATACACTCTTATGTGGATAGGGCGTATATTATTGCTAAGCACTCTGTCTAATTATTATTTTATGTACTCACAACTTGACCCCAATTGGGCAACTGTATATGTATGAACTGGCCAAGTTATAGAAAATAACCGTTAAGGTCATGCCAAAACCCGCCCACGGTTGACCACAAAATACAATTGCCTGCCCTTAGTTTCTTATGTATAGACGTTGTTAAAATTTTGTAAAGTCAGCAGACGAACTGCAAGACAATGAAAAGAGAAGCAAATGATTTACATGAAATACACACTTTTCTGAGTTTGCTGCTAATGCGTAGGCATGACAAACAATTATTATATTTCATTGAAATAATAAAAACAAATTGTTTCTAAAATTCGAGTAACAAACACAAAGCTACAAAGTCAACTGTCTTTATTTCTTTCGGTTCTCTTAATAATATTTTCAGTCGATCCTCTTTTCAGTATCTTGCGATGTGCAGCAGAGGCGAAAGAGTTCAACTGGCTCTCTTAACACGGATTGCTGAAATGCACCCTCGCTTTTCCATGACTTCTCTGTGCCTCATAAGCTGGATGTACAGTGATCCACTAATGAAAGTAATTTTAATTTTTTCTTTCTTTTTTATTTATATTTTCAATTTATCAAGTTCTTAGATAAGGATATTTTCTTAAACTACATCATCGATTCAACAATGGAAATTGAATTATGTTTCAAAAAAGTTTTAAATGGTTTTCAAAACTTGTCAATTTGTTAGAAACTATACCACTGTACTTCCATGTCTTGAACGCAACTCGGATTTGGGCAATACGACCAGAAACCGAAAGACCGAGGAGCTCTCAACCGTGTCCGTCTTTCTCTAACGGCCCAGAGTCATAGCCGTAGTTTTAGTATTTGTCTTCAGTTGAGCGGTCGCATTTAGCGGGTGTGGATCCTATACCAAAATGAAAAAATATTACAAAATACATTCAGGTGTTTCTTGCCACATTCCGGGAAGCACCCATTAAAGAATTAATAACTATACACAATAAATGCTATAGATCAGTGATCTCGTGTAGGCTGAGTTTAAAAAAAATAAAAGTGCAGTGGATTACCCCAGGAAAACATATGAAATCCGAGGCGATCGTCGGTTGGTGGGTGTTCGTTGATGCATAGCAAAGTTGTAGTCTTAACAAGAGCTGAAAAAAAAATACAAGAAACCCCGAGAGGTCCGAAACAATGCTCAAAGCCACGAGGAAACCAGCGGATCCATACAAATCGAAGCTGAAAGTTAATGCCAGCCACAATGGACCGCATCCAAAGTCCGTCGAGTTAACTGAAGAGGAGGAGGCATCAACTGGTGGCCAGACATCCCCTCAAAAGCTGAGCCTGAAGGGCAGCCAACTGGGGGGCAGCATCTTGATTGGCAACTACAACGTGAGTTGAGTCAACTCCGGCTGTCGGTATCCGGCATCCGGTATTTGATATCCGGTTAGTGTGTCTTCCCCCATTCGTCGTTTTCTCTTTTCGCCCTCAGTACTTGACCCAGCTGGAGGTGTGCGAAAATGAAATGGAGGTCTTGGATCTCTCTTCGCTGGCTCAACTAGAGACGCTAAAGTGCAGCCGGAACAAGCTGATGGAACTGATCATCAATGCCACCAACCTGCAGACACTCGTAGCTGATCATAATTGTAAGAGGCCCACTTTAAAATTATTCCTACTTCCGGTTATATGTTAGATATGGAAATTTAAAGCTTTATAAGAATGGTGAGGTGGGGAAAATTTTTAGTGTAAAGGAAAATTAGTTTGTTGGAATCTGTTTTCATAAAAATTAACCACTTTCTTTATGGTTCCCTGAAAGTACATAGTTTAATATATATTCCAGACCTGCATAGCATCTCCACAACGAACACCCATCCGGTTCCAATTAAGCTGCAGAGTATCGACATCTCGCACAACAACTTCAGCGAGCTGCCGAACTGGATCGGAGCATGTGCATCCTTGACGACCCTGGGGGCTTCGCACAATCGCCTTAGCAACGTGACTGGTCTGCTGCGTAACTACAGGATCAGTCAAATGGTATCCTTGAACTTGGCATACAACGATTTGAAACAGTTGGACCAATTGCCTGAGGGTTTTGGCAGCATACGTAGTCTTCACCTACAGAGCAATGAGCTACAAAATCTTCCGGATAACTTTTTCGCAGTGACCCATGCTCGCCTTGAAACTTTGAATGCGTCCTGCAATAAACTGTCCACTTTGCCGCGCTACGAGCAAAATAATCATGCTTCACTGGTGAATCTCTCATTGGCAGGAAATCAACTTAATGACAGTATATTTGACTCATTGCACAATGCCGCCAAGTTGAGGGTCCTCCATTTAGCCTACAATCGCATTGGAGTCCTGCCCGCTGCCTGCGTTCGCAACTGGTCGGAACTGGAGATCCTGGTTTTGTCCGGCAATATGCTACAACAACTGCCTGAGGAGGTGGCCACTCTGGGAGAGCTCAGAGTGCTTCGCTGCTGTAATAATCTGCTCCTCTGTACCCCGCAATTGGCCAAGCTGGGCATGCTTAAGGTTCTGGATCTCTCCCACAATCATCTAGATCGGGTAAATCTTTTGGCTCTGGTTCCTTCCCGGAATCTGAAGTACTTAGACCTTTCGGGGAACTTGCAATTGCAGGTGAGTTGGGACTTATTCTGGTATATTGAAAGACCAACTAACGCCATTATTCTTCAGGTGGACGAGCAGCAGTTCAAGGTCTGTCAGACTCAAAGCCAGCGTCACTGGAGCCTAATAGATGTCTCGGGGAACAATAGAGTCGCCCTGCCCACAACTACTCTCCGGCAGGTTAACTCCCAACGGAGTCAGAACAAAACGACTGGACCTTGGACAATGGGTTTTGCGGAAACTCCAGGCTCTGGAGATTGCCGCAAGCTTTCTGTCTGTCAGCTGCGGGCGGCCAACTATGGAGGATCTGACGAAGCCCTGTACGGGATGTTCGAGGCGATGGAAGGATATGGACGGGCGGCCCAGGAAATGGCTCACCTAGTGCCTGATCTGATGAAACAAGAACAAATGGTTAAGGATTCGGCGATCAAGGATTACATGAAGTTCACCCTGCTGGCAGCACACCAGCAATGCGGGAACGTGCGCAGTGCAGCCCTTTTCCATCTCACCAGGACACGGGCACCGTCGAAGGTAAGGCCTCTGAAGAGCAAGCGCTATGTCCTGCGCATGGCCAGCACAGGACGCCTTGACGCATATCTCATAAGACGCACCTCCCAGTTGCGACTGACTGAAACGGAAGTCACCCAAAAAGACCAAAATCATTCCATAGTAATACCAGATCCAAAAGTTTTAGAGGTGGGTATTTGCGGAGTTTTCAACTTTTATAACTTACTCTAAATGCTTTAATTTTTATTAGCTCACACTCAGCAACGAAGATGAGTACCTGGTCGTGGGCAATGCTCAGCTCTGGTCAGTGATGGACATTGATCGCGCCGCCCGAGAGATTCGCAAGGAAGAGAACGCTCTGCTGGCGGCAAAGCGGCTGGTGGACATTGCCCAAAGCTTTGAGGCGACGGAGAATCTCAGTGTGATCGTGGTGCGTTTCCGGCATTTGGGAACCGATGTGGAACACCTCATCAGAGAGCTGAAGCAAAGTGTGCGCAAGAAACCACAACCGATTTCATTACCCACTTCCAGTGGATCTGTTTGCAAACGAACCTGCTGCGACAGGAGCAACGCATGTCGTCATAGGGCTATTGAACAGGTGCCCATGGCAGGTCGATCCTCGCCGAGTGGTCAGAGCGACCGAGATCTGCTAACGAAGGAAAAAGACGATGAGTTTATCCTGGCACATGCACGCGTCCTGCAGGAGGAGCAACAGCTGGAGATGCTGGACGAAACAGAGTCAGTGCTTTCAGAGGAACAGTTCAAGTGCTGGGAGTACATGCTGGAACAGAACACTCAACTTTTGTTCGACAAGGAGTTAAACACCATTTCTAAGTCCTTTACGAAGCAGAGATCTGTCCCGAATGCCATCATGGCAGCTCCGGCTGCCCAGGATCGCAATGATTTCACCTCGAATCTGATGCGCAGTGTCACCAATAAGTTTATTTCGACCAGCACGCCACAGTTGCCCCAACCTGTAACTAACTCCGTGCCTCTCGGATCATATCATCAAGTAAAGCAGCCGGTTCCTGGACATTTTGGCAGTGCTCTCTCATTTCAGCAGGCGCACAGTTACGGTTATAATCTGTTTGACGCCAAGCCACGACCCAAGTTTCCAGGAAGCACCGTAAAGCGGCCTGGGGCACCAAATTCCGCTTACTTTGGTTCCCTTCAGCGACTGATGCCGTATAATTTTGAGTATGACTTTGCCGTTACCCAGGAACGAGAGAGGAACATCCTTGACGAGGAGGAACAGGACGATGATGACTTCAACGAGCACGAGAGTCGAATGCGTAAATACTGGGGAGTGGCAACCACAGAGCTTTAGCCTGAGAATACTTTTATTGGGGAATTATTTTAAATTGTACATGGGCAGAATAGAAAGTGTTTGCAAGTGTTCTATATGCTTTGCTGTCTTTAGAATTTTTTAAGAAACAAACAGACAAGTATACGTAACAAGTTAATTAAAGTGTTTTAATTTTTATTGATTAACTTTACTTTCAAAGACAAAATTTTTTGTTATCCCGTTGTTTCGAATTTTATCACCGAATATCCGTTACTATCGTTAAAAAGCCCCTATATATCGATGGTCGACATTTCGATAACCACTCACATGGTAAACACTGATACGCAACAGTGGTTATTTCACCACGTTTGGCCCTTGTTTATGTTTCTTTAGAGTCAATTAATTAATTTACGATGCATCTGCCGCAGCAAAGGCCGCACCACGACATTGCAGCGCTGTTCGCGGAGGCACAAACGGATTTCCTGCGTGTGAGCGCTCCAAGTATGATCAAATATTTGAAAATAACTTGGTATATAAATTATTAAACTGCATCTTTTTCTAGTGGTGCGCTATAGTAAACTGGAATTCCGAAGACTCGTTCGCCTCAACGGAGTACAACTTGCCTTTACGCCAATGATGATCTCAGACTCTATTAACAACAGCGAAAAGGCACGCCAGAACGAGTTCTCTACGGGCGCTGATGACCAGCCACTGATCGCCCAGTTTGCTGCCAAGGATCCCACGGAATTCGTAACCTCCGCCCAGCTCATCTATCCGTATGTGGATGGGATTGATTTGAACTGTGGTTGTCCCCAAAGCTGGGCAATTGCAAAGGGTTATGGATGTGGGATGCTTCGCCAGCCGGAACAAGTGCGTCAGGTGGTGCAGCAAGTGAGACGCACTCTGCCCGCCGACTTTAGTGTTTCGGTGAAGATGCGTTTGCTAGGAGGTGATGAGTCTTTGCAGCGCAGCATCGATCTAGCCCGCCAGTTGGAGCACGCTGGCGTTACCTTTCTGACTCTCCACGGCAGGACGCCAGCACAGAAGCACTCAAAGGATACACTAGACATCCCAGCTATGTCCGAAGTGCGAAAATCTCTACAGATTCCCTTGATAGTCAACGGCAATGTGGAGAGCTACAGGGATGCCTGCGATTTATACGACCAGACGGGAGCAGCTGGTGTGATGGCTGCTCGCGGCCTTCTAGCCAATCCGGCCCTTTTCAATAGCTCTTATCCAGAGGGTAGATCAACGCCATTGTCCTGCGTTCAACAGTGGTTGGATATTGCAGCTGCTGCCGGGGATAATCTACTGTTCCAGTGCTTTCATCACCACTTAACTTTTATGTACAGTGCTCAAATGAAGCGAGATCTACGTATCCAGTTCAACAGTTTGGGATCCAAAGAACAGGTGGTCGAATTTCTCAGGGAACACTATGACTTGCAATCCGGTGAGGATGATCCAGCGCCGGCTAACTATACAGATTGCACCTACACTCATTTCACACCTCCCAAGCATGCCCGACACATTGCCGCCGAGTCGGATGAGCAGGCATGGAGTGCAAAAAGCGATGGAAAGTTCTTTACGGAATTTAGAGCTCACCAGTTAACCGGCACTGGAGGAGAAGATCTAGAACTGGGAGGACTCTTTGGGGACGAGAACTGAATTGATATTGCTTAGCTGACTAGGTAAAAAGGTTGTACAAACTATATACGGTTTATATTCATTGTAGCTAGATTTTTTAACATAATCTTATTATCTTCAATAAACCATTTTAGAACCATATTTAAGAAGAACATGTTGTTTTCAAAATAATGTTAAACTATATACCCTTTCTTGATTTTTTCTAGTGGATTATATATAATTACAAATTAAAGTTAAAAAAAGACCTACGATCATAATCGCTATTGAATTAAAAAATAACGGGAAGAATGGTCATAATGGACTGTCTGCTATCGATATTTTCAGCTGTCATTGCCACCCCTAACTGACTAGTGCATTCGATACATAATCGATATAAGGATTGGATCTTGTATTGTATATAAGCAAGCCCACCCCCGAACAAAAACATTTAAGAAAATGCGACGCCGCGAACTGCAGACCATCCAACTGAAGCTCTCCGATCTTAAGGAGTACGAGCAGGCCAAGATGGAGCGTTTGAGAAACCGCCAGCAGTTGTTAACTCCCCGGACGCCCACGCCCCCGTCCGACACTGAAGTGCTACCGGTAACCTCCAGCAGCGTACTTCAGGCCAGCGGTAACAAACAAGATGATGACACCGTGAAGTCAGAGCCCACAACTAAACCTAGCACCTCCTCCACCTAGGACCACCAAGGACAGCATGGTAAGTTCTCATACATTTATGTATTATCGTTTACATGGGATAATCGTCCCCTTGGCTGTCGTTGTTGTTCTGAAAACGAACAGTTTCGAATCCGTCGACAAGGATTTCGCGATCCTCGGTTTGCTGTCGGTCCCTCAACCACTGTTCCCGTACAGGCATATAGCGCCTGAGTCCTGGCAATTTCCTCCAGCAGCGTCGCTTGTAGAGTACCCAAATCAATGAAACACTGCACCCAAGAAGGAAGCAGATCAGGAAATATGCTAATGCCTCGTGCATGTGACGTTGTGACAGGCAACTCAGAAATCTCCGGGCTCAATTCCTTAGCCTCCCGAATGTGGGCCAACCGCCGTCGGTCATCGTCACTGCATTGGGTAATTGGGATATAGGCCGTCATCACATCACCTGCTAGGGAATGGACCCGTACAGCGCAATCGGTGAAAGTGATATTTATCTGATTGACGTTCACGTAGCCGGCATTCTGGTGATCCTGCCTTGTTACACAACTCACGTGGATCGTGGAGTTGTGTCGATAGTGGATAACATAGTTGGTCAAGAGGCCATTTGGTTTCTTTGGCTCGTCGAAGTGCAGGATGTACTTATGCATCTCCGGAATGTGGCAGGCATGTAACTTAGTAGGCAGATCTGCACCCAATGTGTAGTTTGTGCGTCCGTAAAGTGATGTATGGCTGCTGCATCCTAGTGGATTGCAGGCCTGCAACTGTAGCGCATACAGGCGATAACGATGCAGTGTCTTTATCTCGTACTCCGTAGTGTTTCCCGGCAGCCTTAACTGTGGTAGAGCGGCCTCCGACAATACCAGTCGCCGACAGAGCTTAGGATCATCTAGGGAACACCGATACTGCTCCCGCATGTTCTCGATAAAGCGAGAATCTTTTAATTGCTCCTCCTTGTGGGCACAGCAATTGTCGTAGTCGTCGAAGTTCATCCATTTGGGGCCATCCATGTCCTGTAACATATACGACGGCTGGTGGCAGTAATTCCGTTGTTCTATATACTCCTGATCATCGGGCAATTCGAAAACAGTTAGTAGGAAGCTGTCGTGGTTGTGACTGGCCATGCGAATAGTCAGCGAACTATCCGTCTTTTTGACAAGCTCTAGCAGCGGTTGTCTCGGTATATCTATCTGCGTCTGAATATATGTTAGTTCACTGCGCGCCTCCAGAGCCAATTCATCGCCGAAAGTTCGCAACAAGATGGCGTATCTAGTGTCTGGCTGAAGATCATCCAACTCGAACAGATAGTGGGTACCATTCTCGATCAGATTGTCAGGGAAAAAGTATGCGTCGTTTCCAGTTGATTCGTGTGCATATCGGTGCCTCAAGTTCACTCTCTTCGTGGTACGTCTTTCCGGGCGGCAATGGTCGGTGGATTAGCTCTATCCGCTGGCTGGTCTTAGACTTAAGCCAGCTTAGCTTCACTGTTCGGTGGGATCGTTTCTAATAAATATAAAAGAAGAGTTAGCAAATGAACAGTTCTTGACAAAAATACAGTTTTACCTGTACATATAGTACTAGTTTCGAGGGACTGCATTGGACCTCCTCATCATTTTCCTGCAACGAGTCTAGGGCCCTGTCGTGGGTTACACTGTTTTGGAACTCTCGCATCCTCCGGTTACATAGCTTATTGTTACGATGCATGAACATGCCGCCTTCCATGAACTCCAGTTGCTGGGAAGGTTTCCACAACTCGGAGAGCTGCTTATTGTCGTAGAGTATAAAGGAGTAGTGGCGATTATCTAGCGGATCACCGTGTACTCGCTCCAGATTACTGAGGAAATTCAAACTTCGTAGCTGGGAGGAACTTTGAAAGAAATAAAAATCTGTAAGGTGGCAGTTGGAAGCCAATTAAATATATGCCCACCGATAGACTTTGAGGTGTCCGCGAACCTCCCGGATACTAGTGAACATCTGGAACAGCAGTGTCTCATTCACCTTGTTGCGAATGGTGATAACCAGGCTACCATTAAAGATCTGGCAGCCACGCAACTTCTCAGCATCGGCCAGGTTGTATATGGTGAACGTATTCCCAGGATACTCGGGAGTGCAAAAGCTAACGCAAGCCTCTTCGGGACTACAAAGCACGCACTCGGACTTGTTGTCCGTCCTGTAGCCGCTGGGGCAGAAGGCAACGCACTCTGATTCATAGATAACATAGCCATGTTTGATTACACATTCATCCCTGGTATAACAGCGCTGAAAGAGTTGCATGGCATATCTGAAATAAAATATATTAGATAGGGATAGGAATTCATATAAAGATGTTTCCATTCACTTGTTCTTCGGGCAGCTCTTCACACAGACACCAGAATCACTAAGTCCTCGGCAGACGGTACAGTCAGCAGCGGATATCGAGTTATTCTTACAGCCACCCAAGCACTCTTCATGGCATGTGTTAATGTTGCTGCAGAAAATAAATAAAACTAGCTTTGCGATTTTCCTGAACCTTAAAATGTATATATTGTACACTTACGCCTTGGGATTGGCAACATTTTCGTTAAGAGAACGCTGGCAGAAATGGTTCGACCAGCAGTGAGAGGAGGAGCATCCGTGGCACACGGGTGTGCTACAATTTTTACCGACAACATTAATTTGATTTTCGCCCCTGCTGAGGGTGAGCAGATCCCAATTAACCCGGTCCATGTTACAGAGCTTAGGGCAGTTGCCGATGTAGACTTGGCCACTTTGTATTGCCACTAGTTGTGGAAAAGCTAACTGTTAAGTGTAGGATTTTATGAAATGCACATGGCAATCAGAAACTTTGAAGTCCCACTTACCTGCTCGAGGTCATGCATGTTGGTTATGCCAAGAGCATAGTTGAGGAACAATCGGTGACCCCGAATAACGGTCAGGTGCGGAAACATCTCCGTGATGTTGGTCAGGCCCCGCACCTCAGTGAAGATCATAAACTCGGTAATCTCGGTTAGAAGTGGAAAGGAATAGTTCGAAAAGTTACAGTTGTTCTGTTCCCCGTGGATTAATACGATCAAAACGTATCCAGTGACCACTGTGCAGTTGTCCAGCAGATGAAACTTACTGCATTCGTTACGGATGTCAATGCTGGTGCATTCATGCTCCATTTTTGATTCGGCACCACCGCCATATAGCGCCAGCATCATGAGGCTGGCGGTAAGCAACATGTAGCTAGATTTCATGTTGCCAAGCTGGGACTTGCATAAATGTTCTTAGCTTTAATTTTCGTTTTCACTTTTTAGTTTCTTTTGCCGGCAGCGATCTCGCTCCAACATATTGCATTGCTTTTGCCGAACTTATGTTTTTTTTTTTTTCGATCCGATTAGCTTACAGTTATATGTAGCACTCCTAATTAGCGCACTGGCTCTCCGCTGTCCATCTGATTAGCTTCGATATTTATGAGTCGAACGCTATTCGCTCCGCTTTTATTTTTTAGGTTCTCGCTATCTATGGCGAACAATCGCACACGAAGGGACTGCCTTTTGTTTTTAATTTTGTTTGCAATTTTTTTTTGCTGTCTAGAGCTGAAACGTAAACAAACACTTCATCACACAAACACATTACGCACGTCAAAAACAATTTGTTCGATCGAATTTGTTTATTGTTTATTTTTTATTGGCATTAGATTGGCCTCGCGGAGGGCAAAAGTCTATACTTCTGTTTTCTTCTCTTTTGGCACAAATTCACTTCGGGGGTTGGGGTTGCCATACATTCAGAACATCTTTTTGCTAGGAAAAACGATGATTCTGCTAAATGGGACAATATCTACTGGCAGATGGTAATGGCCATTTAACTCGTAAGCTATTAAAATGATTTAAGCTTATAAGAAATCGGATGAACTCATAAATTTGGAATGCAAATATTCTATGCTAACACCAGAGTTGTCTATCTAAGCTGTATTATTAATTTTCCTAGCCGAATGTTGTATAAAATAATGCAGTCATAAATGAGTTTTGTTTATGTTAAACAGTTTTTTTTTTATTTTTGGAATTCTTTATCGAGTTTATTATAGTGATAGAATGGTTCTATGACTCAAATATAAAACGTAATAAAACCTCTCTTCTGTTTCTTTCAGGGGATAATTAACACTTTGATCACTACCTCAATGGATGAAGCACCTAATTTATACAAAGCTCACATATTTTACAATTTACATCGTTTAGTTAATTTAAGCGTTTCGCGAAATGCAAGCGGAATTCGAATCGACTACTACTATATTTTAAGTTTATTTAATCGGGCACCATAATTAATTAGTGCCAAACAGCCAGACTGTTAAATATAAGAACGAACTTGACAAAAAAAAAAAAAAAAAAAAATATTTCAAGATTTCATTATTGGTCGATTCCAGCTGGCCACACACACGGGCGGTATGCAATTAAAATTTTTTGGACAATCTTCAAAAAATATTTTCGCCCGGTGAATTTTCTGTAATGTAGGATTGAGAGAGCGCGCCGACGATGTTCACCTCACGACGATCGGTTGCCGACTGACCGTCTGGGGACCTCGTCCGTCTGTGTGGAGAGCAAACAAATTGATTTTCCATTTAGTTGTCTTCTGCCTTCAGCCAGCCTCCGACCCTGGGACCTCGCCGATCGTCAGATACACTGCCTTCAGTGCGGGGCCTGAGTTGGCCGTAAATTGATTAAGCGATCGTTTGATTTCTACGGGAATGTGAACCAGTTAATTTGTCATCTGCCTGGCATCACATGCCTTATGCAATCGCTAAGCAATAGAGATATGTTTGGAATTCTATTTACATGGGTAAGGTTTTTCGCTCAGTGCAGCTATTGAATTTTTATGGCTCTAGTTATGGGAGTGCAGCTCCTGCCAAACCACCAGCTGATCCCAGTGGCTCATAAAAACAGCTGACTCCAATTAGCCACATGGCACCGGCACTGGCACCGGCACCGGTACCGGCATCTTCATCGGGGATTCTTCTCTCCACACGCACATGGACAGCTCGAAATCAAGTCAGGAGAATTCCCATGCAGACTCTGAAGCGATTAAGTTTAACGAGCCGGCAATGAGGAGTTTTCGGAGAGCGTACACTGAACAAAAAATGTATAAAAAGATTTTGAAATATTAGCTTTTGTGCTTTAAAAATATTCTTAAAAATAAAACAACTGTCTGTTGAATAGTTACAGTGTTTTGAATTAGAATATTTTATTTAAAATATACAAAAATAAATATAAAATATATTTACAGTTTGTTGAGCTTGTAACTTGCTCAAGGAAAGTAGAGTAAGGGTCCAATAGTCTACTTGTTTTCTTTTATTACCGTCATCTTATTTGTTTAAAAGATCATTTCATATTTTTCAAGCCTCTGCGAGTGGTTTGGGTCAAAGTTCAATTAATTCAATTAAGTTATTGGGTGCGTGTACACCTAAATCAATGGATAGCGGCTATACGCTTCTGATATAGGCATAGAATAATATTCTGTTTTTTATTTATTTAAATATTTCTTTATACAATTTAAGAATTCAAGTTAAGGATAGTGGCTTAGCCTAGGTTAGTCGGCCTACTCAGGCGGCGTGTTGTCATGTATCCACTCGGAAAAGTGGGCCACGGAGGTGTAGACACTCGGGATGCGTAGTCCACCGCAGTTATCCGATCCAAAGGACATAATGCCAATCTATAGAATACAAAATATTATTAAAAAATATAATGTAGAATCATTAAAACCATATTACCTGTGAAAAGATGCCATTCTCTTGTATGAAAAGCGGTGCTCCGCCGAATCCCTGGCAAACGTCCTTGCCCTCGCCGCCGGCGCACATCCATTGTCCTTCGATGGAGTTCGGCGACTCCAAAGCGCCAGTCGAACCATAATTGCGTAGACACAGATCCCAGCTGGTCAATGGCACGTCCAGATGCGACATCTCCGGTTGCCGTACACTAGACGTGGACATCTTGCCCCAGCCGGCGATGGTAGCCCGTTTGCCCACTACCAGGTTGGCGCGTGTCTTCTGCAGGCAGATGGGTTGTGTTGCCACTGGCGGTGTAAGAGTGGAAATGGGTTGGCCGCCATTAATCTTATGTTCGACTTCTGATCGCTACCTGCCCAAAAAAAAATCTGCAACATTGTTGCCTAACCCAAAGTGGTGTATCCAGATTTTCTTTCAAAGGGGTTTTTCTTTAAATTTTAATATTTCCATTTTGATAATAATTTTTGTATTTATAGATTTTGTCCAACTTTATACTTGAAAACTTTACATTTCTATAAAAAACATATTTTTTTTAATAAAAAAGAAACCTCCATATACGCCCTTGGACTGACCCATTGATTTATCTCGAGCCGCGGTATTTTATTGGGCATTATAAAGCAATAAGGATGAGCGCAAACAAGTTGGGGCAGCCACCTGGGAGACGCCCCTTTTCGGGCCGCAAATAATGTGCTGTTTACGAACTGGCCAAATTGCAATTAACCAATCGATTGCCTCACCGATCGATCGGTCGGTCGACCGGTGCCTGGTAATGACCCTTATTTGATATGCTATGTGCAAAAGATGATTCTGTAATAAGGCTTTACGCGTTAAAATTCAATTTCTGGCCTCAGTCTGCCGAGGGGACCATCAACATCACGTCCCAATTGATTTTCAATCTTCGGCAATGGGAACTAACAATTTGCGAGTATCGTAAACAAAAGTCAAGTTCTCAATGAATCGAAAAGTTGAATGGATTTTGGTTTTGTTTTTCTTGCAATGCGGATATGACTTTTGGTCCAGACTGAGACCCTTTTGAGATGAAACACTGACTGATTTTATAGTGACATATCAGTATGCCAAAGTTTGTAGCCATTGAACTGAGGCAAAACGTTTCAAAATCAAAGCGAATCCAGTGGCCAGTGGTCGCGATCAACTCATTAGTTGGTACAGTAAACACGCACCAAAGCCCAACGCCGCCCAATTAATTGAGATGTGGGGATCCCAACCTCGTATTAGCGACATGCAGGCCGCTGGAGGGGAATACATTTGACATTTGTGAACTTGGAGCGAGTGTGGAGTAGAGTGGTTTGGAGTGAAAGATGACAGAACAAAACGATTTTTAATTAACGGCGACACCGTCAAGCGTAACCACCCATTGGACTACGACTCCCTCCATACCGTCCAGAACTCACCCGAATAGTTTAGCGGCGTTTTGAGCACTAGCAGAGCAATATCATGGTGGTATTGGCCCTGTTTGTAGTCTGGATGCACGATCACATGGCTGATGGCGTGGTTGACAGAGCGCGGTGCACAGAATCCGGTGTTGGCACAGTCCGGATCGCTACTCGTATCATACTCACCTACGCGCACAGATGACCTGCAAAGGTCCGTAGGGAGAAAGTAAATTAGATGGATGTTGCGATTATGATGCACTGCATCCAGTGGCCGACTTACAAACGGTGTCCATCGGCCTTGGCCAGTGCACAATGGGCGGCCGTGAGGATGACTCGACGGGCGATTACGGCCCCAGCACAGGGATAGGCAAAGGCGCCAGTGTTAATATCTTAAGTAAAATATATAGTTTCCTGATTATTATTCATAGGAAAAATCAAAAATTACTTACGTTTAAAACCAATTCGTGCGACGAATGGATAGGAACCCAATCCTTTGTAAAAGTGTCCCTGAACTAGGGACTTTCCGCAGACCTGATTCTTCTCCAAGGGACTACTAGGACAGCAGACGTAGGGCAGTTCCTCGCTAGCTCCACCGCAATATAGCGACTTGTCACCGTAGTAACAACTCCTGGCCACCTCGTATATCAGAGCCGTACAGTCGTGAAGGGGTGTGCACTCAGTGCCAACGGAACAGCCAGTTTGACCAGCGGAATGACCCACATCATAGTAAGAACGGGCGGCCACCGAATGTCCAGCAGTCTCGTTACCGCTCTTTTGCTCTGGCTTGGCATAGGTCACGGGTACCAGGAGTTTCTCTAGAAGTAACTTAGGTTAGGTTGGGTCTTTTTTTTTTAACTCCTTAAAATAAACTTCTATATAGTTCTTCCTTTTTATCCATCTCTTTGAGTAGCAGGAGACTTTTTTTTTTAACACAGCATTTTAGGATTTTAGGATTCTAACAAGTTGTATTATCCTTTAAAGTAAATTTATGCACAATACACCAATTTCACACTCATATCCTACCGAATTCCCCCGATTCCGATCGAACGTTTGCAAAAAGTTGCAAAATTATGCAAAATATGGAAAAGGCTTGCATTTTAATCGAAAATGAATGATCACTTTTCCCGTACTTGGTTTTATATTCAACGCAATTATAAATTTTTAGTTAAAAGAGCTTAGAACTTTCGGTTTCCGGTAATTCGAACCGTGCAGGTGAACAATACTTTGTCAACTAAACGAAGCGATCCCCAAAGCGATCTGGCCAAATGAAAATGAAAATATACGAATCCACATAAGCAGATAGGTAGTATATCACCACACACACACACACACACACATATATATATATATATCCACTTCTATATACTGCCCTGCTACTGGTCTGGCGGGGTCTGCGGTTATTAACTGATTTTTATGACAGTTTGGTCTCGATTCGCGACCATTTCCAGGTTGTAATTTACCCATTTGCTGGGCAGCTACACACACACATTACCATGGCATTTGATGACAGAACATGCGGATCTGTCCCTCCATTGCAAGCGATCTCAGTTGCACTATATGCTTTATTTTGCTTCTGACCATTACTGGTCTTTTTGGTAAAAGTGAGTTTGGATTTGCTTGGGCTAGACTTGATAGACTTTAGGATGCGCTACGATGATTTATTTTATTACTTTTTTGTCACAATGAAAATAATCAAAAAATCTTAAAGATTACCTAAATTCCTCAATAATTGAAACAATTTGAGATAACTCTTTAGTAATCTCCTACTTCTTAATAAAACTCTATTTCGTAGGGTGCACTAATACCAAGTTGGCCTACACTTTCCCCTGTTTGGTGATGTATGTTATTATTTAAGTGAGATTAGCTTACGTTTTTCGTATTAATTTTTTTGTTTTTTAATTTTTGTTTTTGTAATAACTAAAATATGTTGAATGAGATCATTTAGATTTGATAAGCTCGCCGCATTTCACTGGACAAACGGCCAGCTGGTTCCAGTTTTTTAAGCAGGAAAACAAGCGCGACAAACGCACATTAAATTGCTTAATATCCATGCTGGCAGAGTACCACTGCCCCCAAATTGTTTTGTAATTTTTTATGTTGAATTTTCTTTTTTTATTGTTTAACATTTAATGGCCGGGTTTTACTTTCGTTACATTTAAACGCCACTTGCCAGACATTTATCCAAACAAATAATTTCACTTTTAAAATGTTTTCTTTGTTTAAATGATGATTAAAAGAGTTACTTCTGGTCCAGACTGGAATTGCTGGTCCCTTCACCGGATGCACCTGAATTCACAGAGACTCGGGAAGTATCTTGCTCCTGCTGATATCCCTGGATATAAACACGAAGGTTGGAGTTTTCCATTTCCGGTTGCGGGTAATTGGGCAAGACTTGCCGAAACACATTGTAGCGATCCCTCAAATCGGCATCCACATCCTCCGGCCGAAGTTCCTGCTCCTGGAGGGACTGCAGCAGGGAAAAGAGATTTTCACGATTCGTGATATGGCAATCAGGGAGCAGACTGCGCTCTTCCAATACATTGAAACACATGGTGCTCTGTTTTATTTTATTTTGTTGATTTTTGTTGACTTTTTATATATATTTACAAATTTTGAAAATATCATCTACAGTTCGAAAAGATATGTTTATGACTTCTCAAATCTGTTTTTGAAGGGAAAAGCATGGCCTGGAGAGGATTTCTTAATGAAATTACAAAATTATGGAAATATTTTCATGTAGTTTTTGTTTGTCTGAATTTGTTATTTGTTTGTTTATCGAGAAATGCAACTTATAATTTATATTATTTGAAACATTCTAACCAAGTACAGTATAATTTGCTTAGCTGCCTCGAGTACTTTGCACGCAACTTCGAGGCTGCTATGTTAAAAATTCAGCTAACTTAATTTTAAGTTTTGAACAACAAAAAGTTTACCTTCCGCTCAAATAAAGTACAGATAAATTTTGTATCTTTTTTAGCCAAATTATGTTTTCATTTCAATGTCTAAATTATTGTTAACAAAATATTAATACATATGAAATGCAGAAATGCAGAAACTCAAATTGCACGAGTTGCCAAACTGCATAGAAATTATTTAAGAAAATTTGCTTCGTTCTCAATAGATGGCGCAGCTAACTCAAATGATTTTCATAGAAAACCATAAAAAATTCTCCCCATATGAGGCGCTTAAGTGCAGAAGGCTGCTAAGTTGGGTGCACCAAACGTAATTATTTTCATACTAAAGTGACCATGATGCAGAAAAATGAAAATATCAGGCAACTATCTTCACGATGCAGCTAAGTATCGAGGCAGCTAAGCAAACTATACTTTACCACTAATTAATGGCACCCTTATTGTGATCGTTTTACAACGCATATTGCATAATTTACCTGCTAAACTGTTAACCCATTAAACGCCCAACAAAAGAACGCTTTTCAATATGAACGGAAGTAATCATATTCACATACATACATACAAACCTGTGATATCTATGTACCATGAGCACCATGGTTTATGAGTTATATGCAAAAAAAACTAGCCAAGTTTTGCTATCCGAATTACCGTTATATGGCTCTTATTGCCGTTTTGATGTGGCCATTAACGTGTTTAAGCTGTCAGCAAATTGCTGAAATATTAATGACAAACTCGCATAGGGAATTACCCTCCATACTGCATAATACATCAGCACAAAAAATTAATTGTTTGGGGTCAAATAAGCAACTGAGTTTTAGTCGGCTATAAAATTTCAAATTTAAATTTTATAAATTTTTTTTTTTTTTTTTTTTCGCGACTCCCGTTGCTTGACATGCAACCCACCTCCCGCCCAACCGACCGAGGGGCGCTGGAACACGGGCATAGATCCGAGTGGATTAGTAAAGATATGAGGAAAGTTAGTTTTGTGCTAAATGGATTAGTATCGAAACTTTCAAAGTGTTAGGAGAAGAGTTAGAAGTAATGTCATAAAGATCTTTGTAGATTGAACGTAGTACCCGAAATGGTTAATGTTGGGCAAAGATCGAACTACAATGCTCTTAGGATAGAGGAATATAGTTTCTAGTAATCCTAAGGGGTACATGGATATTCAAGCGGCCTAGAAGGGCCTGGCTATCAATTTCACCCTTAAGAAGATTATAAGAAGGATAAAGACGACACCAAGCATCGTCCTACGATAAGCGAGGGATGGCAAATTGATTAGTAAAAGTCAACTTTTATAAAAGGGAAGGTGTATATTTGCATCCCAGTTGAGACCGCGGAGAGCAAATATTAAAAAATTCTTCTGGATGGATTCAATAAGACACTGGTGAATCCCATACTGGGGGTCCCAGAAACATGATCCATATTCCAGAATCGGACGAACTAAAGAAATAAAAAGAGTTTTGGTAACATATGAGTCGTTAAATTCCTTCGACCACCTTTTAATGAAACCAAGAACTCCTCTAGCTTTAGAGGAAATATGGTCGGAAAACTTAAGTTTTGCATCGAGTAAAATGCCATAAAAAAAATAAAAATATTCATGCCATAGGTTATTACATATATATATCTAAAATCTGTTTAAAACAAAATTGAATTTGAAACTTGTTTTTTGCTCTTTTAATCCTTAAATTCAATGATTTCGATTTTTTTAGTTCTTCTTCTTAATAGGGGTGTAGGAATACCAACCCCTATAGCCTTGGATGGATGTCAAAAGTAGAGCACCGACCAATATTCCCAGCAGCCTCATCTTAAATATCTTATATCTTGTGAGAAACCTTACCTTTTATTAAATTTTATAAGCCATTAAAGCGAATAATTAATTTCATATGCTTTGAAATTCTTGTTTTATTAGTGTGTTACAGCTGTTAACCCTTAGTTGGAATAAAAACTCTTAGAACTCTTTTGTTCTAGCATTAACCTAAATCATTCCATTTAATTTCTAAGCATTTTTTAGCCTATAATCATAAAATGTAAGGGTTTTAATTATTTTCATCTTTGTTTGAAATGTTTAATAGTTAACATTTTTGTAGGCTGTTAAGTGGCTGGAAAGTAAAGCTTTTGTTAACAGCAGTAAACTCCAGCCAGAGATAATTTAATTGTAAGCTTTAAATAACATCTTCACATATGTTAACATAACATATGTTATGCATAACAGATCATACAAAGTGAAATACAAGAAAAGGTATTATTTATAAAAAAGATTGAAATTTTTGTTTAATTTTACATAAAAAATGGACAGAAATTACCGTTTTTCCGAATACAATTAAACAGCTTTTATTACTCAAAACAATCTGTAAGGAAATTTAGTTTAAAAGCTTCTTAGCCCAGTTACTGCGTCCCTTGGAATCGGCGATCTCACATCGACATAAACTTTTTTGCTGTGCTATCAGCTCGGCAAACTGTGCGACAATGGGATCCCGACCGCAGGAGGCCACTGAAGTCACCACATCCTTGTCGTTCACAAAGTAGGCCACGAACTGCAGATCCTCGAGACTTCCCTCAATGACAACATCACTGTAAGAACCAAAACCGGCGCATCGAAAGGCCTTGCCAAAGATCATGGTATAGAAAAAGGGTACCGTCTCCAGTTTTGCAATTTGCCTACACATGTTCATTGCAGCAATGCGTCCGTGGTATTGAGCCAATCCATAGTGACTTATATTTACACGATCTGTGATCTCTCCTAGGATATGGGCATTGGCTATATCACCACCCGCATACACATTTCGTATGTTTGTCTGCATAAAGTCGTTGACATCCACGGAACCATTGGCATTTAACTTCACACCAGACTGTTTGAGGAATTCCGTATTGCATTGGCAACCTGTGCCCAGGATCAGCAGGTCGCATGGTATCTTAGATCCATCCAATAGCTCCACTGCAGTCACTTTACCACAATCGTTTCCCAGGATCTGCGTAATACCACTGCTCATCTGCACTTTCACGTTGTTCTCCTCTAGGAGTTGAAGTAACCGGTTTCCTATTAGTTCACCCAAAGTGGTTTTAAATGGAACATTTTGTCGGGCTACTAGGGTAACGCTGCGCGCCTGGGAAACTAAATTAGCGGAGGCCTCCACAGCCATGAAACTAGAACCCAGACAGACCACTCGAGTTGTCTTGTCCACCATTTCGAAGTATACTTCTGGCATCTCTTATGTCTCGTATAGTCTTTACATTTTCCAAATCTACGCCAGGTATTTTTGGTCTGATCGCTGAGTAACCAGTAGCTATATAGATTTTGTCATATAACAACATATTTCCATTGCTGCAATGAAGGATATTCCGAATAGTATCCAACTTTTCAGCGGATACGCCCAGATACAGCTCTATGTTGTAGTTCTTGTAAAACTTCTCATCCCGAAGGTAAAGTTCAATGTTTTTCATATTTGAAGAGTTCATTATTTCTATGCGATCGTAGGGTAAGAACTTCTCCTGGCAAACAAGAATCAAGCGTCCAGTATAGCCCTCCTGCCGCAAAGTCTCCACACAGACTGCACCTGAAGGGCCTCCACCTACCACTACAAAGCACTTTTGATCCTGCCAGTTGCCCCTTACCATTTTCTTAATCCTATTGTTCATTCGTAAATCCGATCGCTTGGCTCGCACTAATACCTGCCCTTTGGAGTTAACATTCACTTGATGGCAGGGCAGGGAGTCGAGGCCAGGAAAGTTCTCAATATCACCAGTTTTCAGATTGAAGCAAGCTCCATGCCAGGGACATCCCAAACGATTTCTGGTAAGTACACCCTTTGACAAAGGAGCTCCACGATGGGGGCAATGGGCGCCCACTGCATGAAAAATGCCATTTTGCTTGACTAAAAGGATACTAGTGCTGCCTATGAACTCCATCTGCCTCATCTCGTTTTCTTGCAAATCTGACTTATGACAAACAGCCACCAGCTCGGTGTAATCACATTCTTTCCGATACGAATTCATTTTGAAAATCGGAATTTTCCCCCTGAAAAGTGAATCTATAAGATATTCCTCTTAAAATATCCAAAGAAATACCGAAAAAATAACTTTCTGGTTAACAATTTTTGTTGTCTTTTATTCTTATGTGTCAAATAGTAATTTATTTCATCGCATTCGTTTTATCATTTTACGTAGTTGCTTTTTTTTTTACTGACATTTCTATTTGGTTGAAATATTTTTTGGTTTTTGTTTTACTTTTTTCTTCGTTAGATATAAATACGACATCACGTTTTCGTAATTGATATTTCTCCTATGCAATTTTGTTGTATTCCTATATAAAGCAATAAATAACTTGTTGATTTTTTTTTTTTTTTTTTTTTTTTTTGTTTTTGTTTTTGTTTGACGCTATACAGACTTAATTAATTTAAAATTCAGTTTTAGTTTCCATTCACTATACACAAATATACAATATTTACATTAAAATATCAGGGTTACGTAGGTAAATGATAGAGCGAAGTAATCGTTTAAAAAACAGACGTAATCATAACGCTTAGTAACATTCAAGCCGTGTTTAGGTGTATCTTCAAGCTAAGCCCACCATTGGCAAACCGAATTCAAATCAAGGATGTTTGAGCAAATTGTGTTGGTTTTTTTTAGTTTTTTGTTTTTTGTTTTTTTTTTTGAGTGTTTGTTTTCTAAAAATTAAGAGGGCTTTGTGCATAAACAATAGAGTGTAGATGTTGCCATTGCTGCTGTTAATGTTGCAGCACATGATGCTTCAGTTGCTATTATGTTGCTATTGATGTTGCTGCTGTTAATGTTGCTGACTCTACCATCTCAACATCTGCTGTTACTATTGTGAGCTTTCAATATGGCGTCGCTGCTATAGTTGCGACGAATGTTGCTGATGCTGCTGCTGAGCAGCTGCCAACAGCAGGCTACGCGACTGCATCTCAAAATAACGCAAAAGCAGATTTGAGTATCAGTAATGTACGCCGGGCGCTGAAGGATTGGAGGCGGTAGTAACGCTCACATTGCCACTGCTGCTGTTGTTATTATTGTTACTGCTGCTGCTGTTGTTCGCATTGTTGTTATTGTTGTTGTTGTTATTGGCGCTGGTATTGTTTGTGCTACCCGAATCGCCGAGCCAGGAATCAGGACTTGGCGGAAAATCGGGATATCCCTGATCGGGACTAGAATCGTTGCTCAAATCGGAGACATTATTGCTACTGTGCAGGCGATGATGCGACTTGCTGGCATGCAAACTAGAACCCACCGCTTGATCTGGAATGGGAAAAAATACTTATGAGAAATGTTCTCAAGTTTTATAAGGAAAATCTATAACTCACCTATATTGGTGTACACAATATTATCCGGATAGGAGCCGAATGTATGACCCTGGCCAACTGGCGGCGGCGAGCGACTGCTCGGCGGATATTGCGACGGACTGGAACTGCCGTGCATGTAGGAGCCGCGAATGCTGTGCGGCGAGGCTCCCTCATCCAGGCCCAAATTGACGGTGCTATAGCTGTCGTTGCTCAGATCTGCAAGGAGTTCATTTGGATATCATAAAAAGTCATCTTTAACTTAAGATTATAATGCATAAAAGAACTTAAAGTAAGAAATATGTCATTATCATTACTCATTTTCCAGTTTATAAAATGAGTTTAAAAACCTTTTGACAGGCCAATAAAAGTATATCTGATTTGACTATTTACGATCCTTGATAATTGTATTGCCTTAGTTTCTAAACTAAACTCAAGCGCACTCACCATGGTGACTGAAGCTGTCGTAGTCGACCTTCAGTTCATCCTTGTCGAGGAATTTCTCGGTGCGTGGCGAGCAGTTGCCCTTCATCGAGCGGAAGTATTGGCTCCAGCGCGTGCGACCCGCGTCCTTTTTCAGTCGTTTCTCCTTGGCCCGCCTGTCAAAGAACAAAGTAGTAGTTAGTAACCAGACAGACTAAGAAGACAGAAGACCAGGAGGACGCACCTGTTCTGGAACCAGACCTGCACCACCCGCATATCCAGGCCCGTGTCCTGCGAAAGTTGCTCACGTACATGGCGGGCGGGCTTGGGGCTGTTGTTGTAGGCGGTTTTCAGGGTCTCCAGCTGCTTGGCGGTGATCGTGGTGCGCGGTCTTTTATTTGGCTGATCGCCATCCAAGGAACCATCCAAATAGAGGCCTAAGAAGATATCCATTATACAGATTACAAGACGTTCCTTTTAGATCAATCTTAAAACGGAAATTCACCTTTTGCCTTTGGCCTCCTCATAATCACGCTTGCAAATCAGCTTGCGATCCTCCATCAGGTAGAACTCGTCGCCAGTGTTCAGGGTGCGGGAGCACATGGCGCACAGGAAGCACTGCAGATGGTAGACATTATCCTGGGCCCGACGCACCACCTGCGTGGGCGGTATGCCCATATCACAAGCGGAACACTTTGTACCGTAACGTCTGTTCGACCCAAACATTGGCAAATGCGACATGAAAGGAGATTTTTCATTAAACCAATTTGGCCTCTAAGAGCGTTAACCCCAACCACATCACAAGCCTTGGCATTTGAGAAATTTACTTACTTGAAGAAGTCCTCCTTGCAAGAAGAGCTGGCCATTCCGCGCGAAGCACTTGTCGTTCAGCTGGCCATGACACTCGCTGCACTGCAGGCACTTTGGCGTGCCACGTCCTTTCCAGCACTTTAAGAATAAAACGGTCCAGAATCAGCTCGTGGCAGCCACCGCACTTTGGGATAGTAGCTATAAGAATGCCGATTAATTAATTGCTGCTCATCTACTATAGCTTAGTTTATCTTTGCATTTGTTATAAAAATCTTTGGTTTTCCTTTACCCATTCTGTTTTTAGAAGTTTTCTTTTTCTTCCCTTTGCTTAGCTAAATATTTTCCCTGAGCACAGAAACAAATCAAGACAATATTTAATTGAGCTATTTGATTCTAAATTGAATTTGCTTTTGTCGTCTATTTAAAAAGTCACTATATAGAAAATATTAATATCTGCTTTGAGTATATATTAAGTTATGAGACATGGAAAAATGGGAAAGGAATTTAAAAAGGTTAACCTGTAAACTAAAAGAAGATAGCTTTTTAACTTTAAGATAATTTTAAATAAGCTTTGGCTGTATGACAAATCTTGAACTTTGGAGATGTTTTTCTCAGTATGGAAGGTAATAGTTAACAATATTTTTCAGTTGGTAAAGGAAATAAGCACTAGTACTTAAGCAAGATGAATGCTTATTTATAAATAATGATTTCTTGCAGCCTTCGAAAAAACAATCAACAAAATCTGTTGGGAAATTTTTGTAAGCTTTAGATTTGTAATCAAAAATCTTTTCTTATGACAGTCAAAAAAGTTCAAAGGCAAAAAATATTTAGAACTCTATAACAGTTCTTGATTTTAAAATCATATTTTAAGTGAGAATCAAATAATTGAAAGTGAGTAAACAGAGCTTTATAGGAGGATATTTATAAATCAAAAGGTTTCTTTAACTTTTTGTATCTTAAAATATCAGACTTTATAACAACATATAGCCATCTTACAATGTCTCGTATCACTAAGAACAAAACTTATTAATAATTGAATTTAAAAATTAAGTATAAGTTTTGTGATATTTTGTGTTTTGATTTCCTTGTTGCCATGTCGCACACCTTGCAAAGGCTTAACTTTCCCAGCCTGTATGACCCAGTAAGAAGACAAAACCAGCGAGTTCATAACCTTTTTGGAACCTTTTTCCCCAATTAGCAACTTACATAGTAAGAACTCTGGCAATTGACTCAAATTAATCGGCGGTACGCGATCATCACATTTGCCATTGGACAGAAAGTCACTTTTGAACATCATCAACTTCAAAAGTTCCATACTGTTGGCTGTGGAAATCCCGACGCTCCTCGATTGGTTTTCTTTTTCTATGCGATGCATTCAACCATCACTTTCACTTAATACACATTGTGATTTTTGCTTGATTTCATATTCCACATTTTTCCTTTTGCTTTTAAGTTAAGGTTTAAGTTTTCCTTTGGTAACTTTTCGTTGTTTTCTATTTAACTTGGTTATTTGTATTTGTTTTTCCGATTTTTTAGTTTTGGCTTGTTGTCACAGCGTTATCACAGAATTTTAGCTGCACGAATGACCGGGGAAAAAACCGAGCGGCAACTTCGAGGCTTGGAAAGCAACTGACGACTAAAGGCACACGATGCCGTTGCTTATTGGAAATGGGAAAGGGGGTGGCCTGGAACGAGCGAGCGTACGTCGTATTCAGGGGGCTGACATAATCACAGCTGGAATGGGAAAACCCAACCCTTAGCATTTTCCAATTGGATTGGAAAGCTGATTTAGCTGCACCCTGTGTTTTGATTGTTGTTGTTGTTGTTGTTGTTGTTTCGACTGTGCCAGTTTTCCAGACTGGCCTTTTTTTGCGTTATTTTTCTTTTCTTTGCCCTTAACAATTGAGTTTGGGTTGGTCGCCAAAAACAAAAAAGCGGGGAAATTGCATTGTAACACTTTGCCACATTCCATTTTCCACTGACATGTGTATGTGTATGTGTGTGTGTGTGTGTGTGTACTGCGAGGGGGTTTTCTTTTGGCTTTTTTGTGTGTTTGTGCCTGGGATTGGTTGTTTTGTGTGCGTCGACGTCGCCTGCAGTTTTCGGGGAGTGGTTTCTCGAAAAGCTCTTTTCAACTCGGCTTTTTTGCCCAATCATCCCTCTCTTTCTGGCATTTTAAGCCCATCTCTTTTCCACTTTCCTTGCCTTTCTCTCTCTCTCTCTCTCGCTCTCGTTATGTTGGAAAACACACTAAAAATATACATAAATATGTTTGTATTGTTCTGCACTGCAGTTTGGTTGATTCTTCTTCTACCCAGCCATATCCTGCCTGCAAATTTGTGTGCTTGCTGCGTGTGTGTGTTTGGGTGTGTGTGTGTGTGTGTGTGTGTGTATGCGCACTTGGCTGCCATTGCTTATTGTTGTGTCATTGTTTCGTAACTGTGAAAATGACCTTAAAGCCGTTAAATAGCTGACTGACTGACTCCGAGCGACCGGCTGATCGAGAGCAACGTCTGCGCACCTGCCACCCACACACCTCTGACCCCCACACCACCTCAACACCTTAACCCCAACACCTTAACCCGTTCATGCCACTCACATTAAGAAATTTCAATTAAATGGAGCTTTAATTTTTATTAAATAATTATGACATCAACATTTTATGATGCTTTTTAGTGCTGATTTATTTTTAATTAACCTTTAAAGTTGGTTTTCAAATACTGACAAAAATAAATTAATACCCAAAATAATATAAAGTATAACTTTTCGTTTCCCCAGTTTTCTCCCAGTGCATTCAAGCCCATATGAATGCTTTCGACCATCCGTCATGCCGTCAGTCGGTTGGTGAGACGAGACATACGCCTATAAGCTGCCAAGTGGTCGCCGCTCTCGGTTCGGCTTTGGTCTCGGCCATTTTCCAAAAGCCAAAATGTGCGTAGCCAAAGGGACCAACACCACACACACACACACACACACACACATGCTCCCATGCAAATGAGGCGGCGACCCACACACACTGGCATTTGGCATTCGGACTTTGAGAGGTTTTAAAGGCTCTTCTTTGTAATATGACTTGACAGTCTGGATGGAATATTTTTGGTATTTTTTTCGGTTTTATGTTCTTGGCTTTTTGATTTTCTTTATTAGGACACGTTACACAGTAAATGCACTTTTTATTTTTAAATAATTGAATAGGAATGCTATAGAAGAAGTAATCATAAATCGGATAAAAGAAACGCTGAGTCCATGTTAATAAAGGCAAAATGGTTTGAAAACGAAAATGTTTTTAGTTTACATAACAATTTAAGTTATTGGAATTGAAAAGAAGGAAACACCTTTTTGACAAGATAAACATCATGTTTGTCTGTTAGCTGGCATTTCTGTCTCTAGAAATTCAGCCAACTCAATCCTTTTGGCAGCTTTAATATTCGTAGTCTACTTTTTGGGGCTTTCTGCAAACCCCATCGACTAGAGCCCAAGACTAAAATTGTCCTCTTCATATGAAAGAAAACCGATACAAATTCATAGCCGACAGCATCGTTGTCAGGACTCGACAACAGGATTCACAACAAAAAGAGCGAAAAAGAAAAGGAAATTTTTTGAATGGCTGCCCTGGGTAAAATGGCGGCTTTGCAATCGAAGGCAAATTGAGCGATACGCAGGCAGCAAACATGGATATATATATAGGTACATATTCATCCATGTCGCTAAGCATTATCTGGATAGAAGGACAAAAGCATTTCCGGATCCAGAGGGGAGCTTAAATATGCTGGCAACGGGCAAAAGGCAGCCAAAGCTGGGATTAAGTCTCGCAGAACCCAAAAGCAGCTCTTCTCTGTGTAAGCATATCGCACTCTCTCCGATATCCCCAGGAATAAGAGCAGATATTAAGAATGCAGAGACCGGGTTTTCAAAAATTCATATAGCCAAAAAACCCAGGCATGCTCTCCAGACTTCTGCAAAATGGACACTCGGAACTTTCCGAGTCGCTTCTTTTATGTCCGAGCTTGTTGCTTAATCGCTGAGGGCGAAAGACAAAATGCTCATCAACCTGGTGGGCGGTGGATGGTGGGATGTTGGAGTGGGCACAAGGCTACACCCACACCAGCCACTACAACAGCCATGATGATGCTCTGGGGGTTGCGGGCACGCCCAGTAAAATGGCTAGCCTGCAGCAGAAACAGCAGAAACAGCGCTGAAAGAAATCAGCGATTTAATTCAAAAGAATGTTAAAAATTATAAAAATTATTAAACATTTAAGTTAAAGAATTTGTTATTTTAGTGGGGTACATTTTTTAATTGAAGTTTATTTACTCTTGATAAAAATTATTAAACAAATAAACTTTTAAAATATATTTTACTTAAATTTAAGATTTTCATAAAAACAAGTTGGAAATAACTTCAGTTTGATATATCTTTGAATGACACATTAGAAAAAGGCTTCAGTTCCCCACCTATTTTTCAACCTTGCACCATTCCATTATCCTTTTTAAGTGCACCCTTGGCTATATCCTGCTCACCATTTTTTGATCCACGCCGCTGGCTTTCATTGTTGCCGTTGCAACGCGCGGGCCAAAAGTCCCCAGGTGACTTTGGCCCTGTCGTGTTGCCTCAACGTTAAAACTTAAAAGCGTTGCCACCACTCTAATACTTTGAAGCTTACTCTTCCATATTGTTCGGTTTATATATATATATATATATACATTTTGTTTCCTTTTATCTAAGCTGGTTTAGCTAGAAGCTAACAAAGTTGTTGGGGAAAAACTAGAGAAAAATGTTAACTTTTACATAAAAGAAAGTTATTTTTTGCTAAAATTAACTTAGAAAGTTTCTTAATCTTAATTGCTTGATACTAAAACTTAAATAATTGTTAAATAAGAATAATATTTTATCATTAATTTTATTCGTTTAAAATCATTTTTGTTTAGTTTTCAATCATTAGCTCATTGAATTTATTGCTGGCATTACTGTCTGTCGTAGCCTCATTCTATTGTTATAATTAACTCGTTTTGATCGATTTCGGGCCATAGTTTTATTTTTGGCGAGTGCTGACATCTGTTCAGATCCTTTCCAAGTAATTAGATTGACAACTTAATTGAGCTTCTCCTTCACCTCAGAGTGCCCACCAATTGCCAGTCGACAACTCCAAACAGCAAATGACCATAATCAACATGGACTAGCATGGCCTGAACTGTACT